CTCCTGCCGCAGTCTTGACAGAAGAAGAGAAGCAGTCAATTATCAATGCTGCTAAAGGCCAATACAAGGAGTCTATAAAGAGCCGAAGAGTCGAAGCTGTATTGGTTTACGGTGTGGTTTTATATGGGAAACCTCCATCATTCTATTCGGGTTGGGCCAGTGGAACAACAGGTCATTGGGGAATCGTTGTTGATGGGCTATTGCACCACCTTGTTTTCAAGTTGGATCAAAACAGACAGCCGGTGGGAATCAAGTTTGAAAGACAGGATTTTAAACAACAATGGATCGATGAAGGAAAGGTGACTGCTAAAGAAGAAATTGGCTCAACATCTCTTCCACTAGATGCTATCGCCGCTGTTGGAGAATCACTGATTTTGCATTTTGGCGATTACCGACGACTGTACAGAAACTGTCAGACATTTGCGGACATTTTTGTGCAAATTGTTTGTGACGTCGACCACAAAGCATTCTCTTCACCATCTATCCAGAATGTTATCGCCACTACTCTTTTGGCTTTTCCCCTGACTACAGTCGGCGGCTCCGTTATGCACATCAAGCAAAAAAACTTCGTCAAGAAAACAAAAAAGGCAATTTCTTGGGAAGATATTGTTGATGCTGAAATTAATGATGAGATCAACAAAATTGAGCTGGGCATTGTTGGATCAAAAACTAGTTGTTCCCTTATGTAATTACTTTTTCATCTTGCATAGTAAAAAGCATGTTCTTAATAATACGTTTTATGACAGCTTTCTTTCTGTTCTGATATTATTGCGGGATAATTCATTTATGACAAATGATACATTCAAGTTCTTTGGTAAATCAAAAGATAATATCTTCATTTTTGTACATCTAACTGATTTTTTATTGGATAATGTGAATGACGAAATTTACCAAACTTTCAATTAATATGAAGAAAGCGTAAAATGTTGCAGTAAATGAAAAGCGGTATCATTCGGTGCTCTACCCTTACTACTGCTGTATAATAAATATAACAAGTCATTTGATAAAATTACATCTCCTTCAAGGTATAAGGAGAACATCCAGCAGATATATATGTATACCAAGAGCACTATTGCAAACTATATCCACAGCTGAAATTACAGCACTAGCACAACAATATTACAGCATGTTTAGAAAATTCGATACGAGAAGTCCAACATAGCAGAAAGAAGCAAGGACAACCGTCAAACTTTCATTTGTTTCAGCAATCCAATCTCATCCTGTTTTGGAAATATTGATGGCATCAACCAGATTGCTGTTGCACATTTCAACAAGAGTTTCAAGTTTGTAGAATCGTACAATCAATTTAATATACACTATGTAGATGAAGCGTCAAGTTCAGCAAACAGTCACCACTGGACTAAACGAGGAACGTTGTCCTATATTGAATCAACGACCAGCAGGTCGTTCAATAAACTGGCCGTGTCAACAAACCAGATTGTCATCGCGATATACAAGACACGATCAGTAGATACTCATGTCATTCAGATCAGCAGACAATCTTACCGATCTTTGCAAAACAACACTGGCAAGAAAACACATTTTGATGTGAATGAGTTTGTGCAAATACTATCTCAATACATGATATGCACTGAGAGTGATGGTTGCTGACAATTTCTCATTTTTCCGATTTCCGACTTTTTCTCTGTTATCATGCTCTTTGTCGCTAGCTGTGATTCATGACTATTTACGGGTGTATGAACCGGTTCATGCATTTCACCACTCGCTCTTTTGTCATGAAATGGAGTAGCTCAATAGCAACAGGGTTAATGTAGAGACCAAGCCCACGTGATGGAGCCAACGGACAGCTGCCAAGGATCAACGAAAGAAAATATAGTTCAAGTTATATCTGAAACCAGTCTTATCCATGTTTCATGCCGCTCTAGTTCGTCGATGCGTTCCCTTTGCTACCAAGTCTTGGGCTACTCCCTTGGCTATTGCTAGTTCTTGTACGTCAGTCTACCCAACCCTTATGCAGCCAGCCATTTGATTGATTGTAGTTGAATTCACTATTCGCAGCTCAAGTTGCTGCTGGAGAGTGCAGTCGATATCTGATCGTCATGTACATCCTGTTTCTTATTTTGTGACAGTGTAGTTGAGCTAAAGGGTGATGATGATCCAAGTTGCTCGAGTTTTAAAGATACTTGAAAAGAATCACTTTGGTTCTAGCCTGTCTTTTTACTGTTTCATTTACAAATGTATACCTGTGTTCTGGCTGTCCAACTATTCAGTTATGCTTTTTGGAGTTGGATTGGTTTACTTTGGTAGTTGACTGGCTTCTATATAATGCATTTTTATCTCTTCTGTAGCCCTTCGATTGAACCACTCATCTGCTACTGGCGAGCCCAATTTTTTGCAAAGCGTAGAGATCTTTTTTGAGCGTGCAGCAAAGCATTCCAATGTCAGCAAAGAGGCACTTGCTCATATCAAGCGCACTGATGGTATTCTTTCTGTTACATTCCCAATAGAGCTGCCTGACGGAACCACTGAGATTGTCCAAGGATACCGTGCTCAGCACTCTCGCCATCGTACACCTGTTAAAGGCAAGTCTAGTAGATGTATGGTTTCTAATATTTTAAAATCTAATCAATTTGTCTTGAAAACTCGTTATTCAGGCGGTATTCGTTACTCGGCCGATGTCGATCTCCAAGAAGTCGAGGCATTGGCGTCTTTGATGACATATAAGAATGCTGTTGTCGATGTTCCCTTTGGTGGTATGTGGTAATGCATTTCAAGATTTTTGCCATTCCATGTTCTCGGTTTAATACTCGCCGGCTTTACAATGCTCATCTTTTACCTGCTGCCTATATACTATTTCTCTTTTAACAGGCGCCAAAGGAGGAGTAAAAATAGACCCCTTAAAATACGATGAGCGTACGATTGAGCGCATTACCAGACGATTCACTCTTGAGCTATGCCAAAAAAATTTCATTGGCCCCGGTATCGATGTCCCAGCTCCTGATATGGGTACATCGGGCAGAGAAATGTCTTGGATTTTTGACACTTACCGCCAGTTTAATCCCAGCGATGTAAACGCTGCCGCTTGTGTAACCGGCAAGCCCATTTCTCAAGGTGGAGTTCGTGGTCGCACCGAAGCCACGGGTCTTGGTGTATTCTTTGGCATTCGTGAGTTTCTTGGTTTTAAAGAAATTCAACAGCAGACTGGTTTGAGTGGCAAGATTGAAGACCTCAGTGTTGTTGTTCAAGGTTTTGGCAATGTCGTATGTATCTTTTGGAAACTCTGCATACATCACCAACTATTATTTGGAACGTTATCCTAACGAATGTTTACTGATTCTATCATACTTACCAGGGCTACTGGGCTGCACGCTTTTTGAGCTCACATGGTGCAAAGATTATCGGTGTTGCAGAATACAATGGCGGAATCTACAATGAAAATGGCCTCGATATTGAGGCTCTTCTTTCTCATCGTAATGCCACAAAGACATTTGAAGGTTTCGCAGGAGGCTCTTTTGTCAAAGATAGTGTCAGTCTTTTGGAAAAAGAATGCGATCTTTTGGTTCCTGCTGCTTTAGAACAGCAAATCCACCTTGGTAATGCTTCCAAAATCAAGGCCAAGATTGTGGCCGAGGCTGCCAATGGTCCTATTACTCCTGCCGGACACGATGTTCTTATCCAGCGTGGCATTCCGGTGCTTCCCGATCTTTTGATGAACGCTGGAGGTGTCACAGTGTCTTACTTTGAATGGCTCAAGAATCTGAGCCATGTCCGTTTTGGTCGTATGAATAAGAGATGGGATGAGCAGGGAAAGTCCAAGCTATTGAATTTGGTTGAGGAAGTTGCTGGCCGTCAGCTTTCTGTGACAGAGCGTCGCCAAGTTACTACTGGTGCTGAGGAGCACGATCTTGTTTATTCTGGGTTGGAAGACACCATGATTGTTGCTTGTGCTGAGACCCATACTACAGCTCTGAAAAAGGTATATTAAATTTCATTTGCATGCTCTGCTTTAGCACTTTTGATCACATTTCATTGTTGAGCTCACACTATCACCACATGCATCTTTATATGTGGATGCTAATGCTTAGGGAATTGACCATCGTACTGCGGCTTTCTCAAATGCCATTGCCAAGATTGCAGCCACATACGAAGGTAGTGGCATGATTTTTATGAAGTAATTGTTTCCTCGAGTATAAATAATAAACGTGGCCAACAACAAATTCATTGAATTCAACTCGGAAAGTCTCATTTTGCTCATTTTCTCAATATACATAAATATTTGTCGCATGAATGCCAATCCTTGACCTATATACTGAGTCGTCAATGATATAGGCGACAGCAAGCTCATGTTACGACTGGCAACAATAGGAATGAGAATGCAAAAAAATGTATGTGTTTCAGCAATCCAATCTTATCCTGTTTTGGAAATATTGATGGCATCAACCAGATTGCTGTTGCACATTTCAACAAGAGTTTCAAGTTTGTAGAATTGTACAATCAATTTAATATACACTATATAGATGAAGCGTCAAGTTCAGCAAACAGTCACCACTGGACCAAACGAGGAACGTTGTCCTATATTGAATCAACGACCAGCAGGTCGTTCAATAAACTGGCCGTGTCAACAAACCAGATTGTCATCGCGATATACAAGACACGATCAGTAGATACTCATGTCATTCAGATCAGCAGACAATCTACCGATCTTTGCAAAACAACACTGGCAAGAAAACACATTTTGATGTGAATGAGTTTGTGCAAATACTATCTCAATACATGATATGCACTGAGAGTGATGGTTGCTGACAATTTCTCATTTTTCCGATTTCCGACTTTTTCTCTGTTATCATGCTCTTTGTCGCTAGCTGTGATTCACCCAAAAGCCAATCAAAGCTACATTAAATCTGCTTTTCGAGACTACTCTAACATAAAGGTCATTCCTATAACGGCTAGTTTGATTCTGTATTGACATCATTGTTTTTGATGATATATGGTTACTGCGATAAAACCCATCTTCCTGCTAGAAAGTGCGTCAAACAATCCACCGCCATCCTTAAATTCAACACTAATGCAGAAACAACCAAAGCAGCCAACGACTATTCAAAGAATCATGTCTGCTGGAATGGGGGCAGTTCTGACATCGCTACTGAGTAAGTATTGATTGCGATGGATCGATATGAATCGTTAAAGTATGTTTCAATTCAGGTGAATTGAGGTCAGCATGCATTTCAATATTATCGATTGCAACGATTCTATATCTAATTGTTTAATATTGGATTCTTGTATATGATGGACATCACGGAGTGCATAAAGCATATTTCCTTTTAACCAGTCTATGAATCCATTTGACTTGAGCAATCGAATCTAACTGATCGCTTTTTCTCATCTGTTAATGCAAAAAAAACTAAAATTGATCATGATTTATACTCTTAGTGACTCCATTTGATGTAGTCAAGACAAGATTGCAATCAGAACAAGCAGCATTTGAGCCAAACTTGAACAAGCGAGCAACCTGTCCTAGATACTTTTTATTAGACAGCGACGTGCTTTCAAGAAACTGTAAATCGGTAGCTTATAGGACTAGACTGCATAACCCTATATCCGAGTCCATGCAAGGGCTTAATTTAAAAAATGTTTCAAAAGTCGTATCTGGCTCAGGATCTTTAATGAGCTCATTAGGACCTACTCTGGGTGCAGAGCCTGCAGTGTCTCGTGGAACCATTGCAAGTATACATTTCTATACTTGTCTGTGTTTATCAGACTGCTGCTGACCGAGTTTACATTATTCATAGGCATCAATTTTATCAATCTCACGCAATGAGGGGTTTAGAGCACTCTGGAGAGGGTTAACACCTACTTTGTAAGCCGTTTTAGATATTTGACATTACCAAATCAAGCTGATTTTTAATGCTTAAATATTGAAACCAATTAGAATTATGTCAATTCCATCCACCACAGTATATTACATTGGCTACGATTTTTTGAGAGAAGCGTTTGGCAGGCATATGTCACATATGGGTATAGAAGCGTACGCACCGCTTGTTGCAGGAGCATTGGCACGAAGTATATTTTTTGATAGATTTGTCTCGTCTATATATGTAGTTGCATATCCAACAAATTGACACCTGTTTTACCAATTAGTTATATCAGCAACAGTGATTTCACCGATTGAGCTAGTCAGGACGCGAATGCAAGCAGGAGATAGTAGCATGAGAGAAACTATGCAAGGTATATCCAACCATATCAAATCTAATGGGCTGCAATCACTGTTTCGTGGATTATTACCTACGCTATGGCGAGATGTACCATTTTCAGCCATATATTGGGTGGGGTACGAACAGATTAAGAAAGAATTGGTTGTTTCGGATAAACATGGAAATGTGGAGAACGAGCTAAAGTCATCATTTATCGCCGGCTCCGTATCTGGATCTGTAAGTTTATCACAGGATATCATAGCCCTGAAATTTTATTCTAAAACCAAGTGCCGCATTTCAACCCCGTTACCAACCAATGATTGTTATTTAGATCTCGGCGATTTTAACACATCCATTCGATGTAGTCAAAACATTACAACAAATATCACATACCAATAGTACTAAATCTCTTTCAATGCTGGCAAGTTTCCATGGCGTGTTGCAACAAAGTGGATGGAGGGGACTGTTTACTGGGCTAGTTCCACGATTCGTCAAGGTTGCACCTGCTTGTGGCATCATGATATCCAGTAAGCTGATCTGAATTACTGTGCATCACAGCTTGGAATAGTATATGCTGACATCATTTTAAACATATATAGGCTATGAGTTTGGAAAGCGGTTGTTTTCTGGATACTATTCGTGAATAAAATACAAGTATTTATATATTTGACGAGTGAAATACAGATCCACTCGTTTCAGGGCAACTCCAGCCAATCATGTAAATGCATGTCAAACATGCAACCAGCGGACAGGCCGTGTCACGTGTAGATGGTATTTACTTTTCCTGCAGATCCAGCGTTTGACTTTTCTGTAAAGCAGCAACACAATGGAGAGATACGTCCGGCTGGAAAAGCTTGGAGAGGGTACCTATGCGACTGTTTACAAGGGGAAAAGCTGTCAGACTTCTGAGACAGTCGCACTTAAAAAAATACATTTGAATGCTGAGGAAGGAGCTCCTTCGACTGCTATACGTGAAATATCCCTCATGAAAGAGCTCAAGCACATGAATATTGTTCGTCTTTATGATGTTATTCACACCGAGGTGACCTTGACGCTTGTGTTTGAGTTTATGGACCAGGACTTGAAAAAGTTTATGGATGTGCATGGTGGAGCTTTAAAGCCTTCATTGTGCTGCAATTTCATGTTCCAGCTACTGCGAGGAATCATGTTTTGTCATGACAATCGGGTACTGCATCGAGACCTGAAGCCACAGAACCTGGTGAGTTGATTTCTGTCAGCTGTATTCTATGCAATCTTTGATTAGTATTCTTGAAAGTTTGGTCAGATTTAGTGATGTAAATCGTTTTGTCAGCTTATATATCCAGGATGATGAATCTAAACTATCAGCCTGATAGATGCATTGGTAACTAGAGTACTCTTTTAAACCTGGTTTAATGGTTTAAAATATCACGCACTTGCGTGCAGTTTAGATTAAACCTCGATTGCAGATATCTTGTTTTTGGGCTACCACAATATATGCTAAAGTATATTTTTCACAACTCTATTCGATCACTTTATATCCAAATATATCTAGCTTATCAATTCAAACTTTGAGCTCAAGCTAGCGGATTTTGGTCTTGCAAGGGCATTTGGAATTCCTGTCAACACCTTCTCTAATGAAGTAGTAACTCTCTGGTATCGTGCCCCCGACGTTCTCCTTGGCTCACGAAACTACTCGACCTCGATTGATATGTGGTCTATCGGTTGTATTATGTCAGAAATGCATACAGGAAAACCTCTTTTTTCAGGAAAAGATAACGAAGATCAACTTCTCAAAATCTTCAAACTTCTTGGAACACCAACAGAAGATACGTGGCCACGGGTATCTGAATACTCGGAATACAAGAAAACGTTTCCGTATTATGCACCAATAGATCTTAGAACGAAGCTGCCCATGTTAGATAATGTTGCATTGAATATACTAGCTAGAATGCTGCAGTACCAACCGCTGATTCGTGTGAGCGCAAAAGAAGCACTGTTGCATCCTTACTTTGCAGAGATTATTCAGGCTATTGGACACATGGATGTGTTAATTGGACAAGGAGGTCAAGCCATCAGCTCACCTCCAAATGCTGCCGTGATTGCTGCCAATTCAAACGGACCAAACTATGCAGCTCAATTGGCCTATGCTGCATCACGCGCTTCACAGGTGCAACCTCAACATCACAACTAGCGACAAAGGGCATGAGAATGGAAAGATGAAATAAAATAAAAAATTGTCAACAATCGTCACCATTGTCGCTGGCTGAAAACGCACGTTTGATATTTTCGACCAGTTTATATTTAAAACATAAATAGTTTGGCTACTTGACGTCAACACAAACAAACTATCCAATCATTACCGTTGTTATATATCGACTAACGAATGTCAAAAAGCATGGGTCAGCTGCTCTGTATCATAAATAATTTCAAAAAACGAAAGCCTTTATTGTTACAGCCATATTCACGTAGTGAACTACTAAATAAGAGTATAATAAACAGTCATGTTTTATTGGTGCCAATCTTACTGGGCAACATTGTGTTTTTTCAACTCGTTTAGTTTACTGATCTTGATGCTCATTCTTGTACAAAAATACAGCAAATCTTGATTCCTGTTCCAATATATTCCACATCCTTGACATCTTTTCAATCTCCAACTTTCCTTTCCTCCAAAACGAACATTTGAAGTAAACATTGCATGACCGGCATGGAAACAACAGTTGCATTCTTGAACTAGAGCGTAAACGCATCTGATATTAGGATACGACAAAGTTCCAATAAAAAAATCATCAATTTCCAATAACAACGAATATTCAACCATTGTTTATTCTGGAGAGAAATAGTCAATACGAGATGAATACTGGAAAGTGTTGCATTTTACGTGAACATGGCTGTAAAACAAACGGAAAATCGAATAAATGAATTCAAGGTAATCTAAAGTCTACTGCAAATACAAAACATAAAGATACCCACTCCCGGAAGAAATGAATAGACTGAATATTCAAAAATACCAAAAGCTGAGAATAAGACTTCAGAGATAGAATATGAGAAATATAGGGTAAGAAGCTGCAGTGGATCGAATGATAGGGAAAAATGAGAACGCAAGTGTTGGTGAAATAAGCAAGAGTAAAATATGCTTGATATGGAGCATGTCATTTGAGTTTAAGCCCCAAGTTTAAGATCATCAAAAGCCTAAAAACAACGATTAGACCAAATGTCAGGAATTGTTGTCAAGCATGAGATGTGGTGTACATTCAAATAGTAGATATAAGGTACCTTTTTCATATAGTAACCAAGTTTAGCAGGAGATTGGGAAACAATGACACCAGCCCTTTGAAGAGCCGCAACCTTGTCCTCGGCCTTGCCCTTTCCACCAGAAATAATGGCACCGGCGTGACCTATAGATACCAAGTTAAACGAGAAGAATGAAATCAAAACACGATCTAAATGACAAGAAACATTGATGCAACTTACCCATGCGACGACCTGGAGGAGCAGATAGACCTGCAATAAACGAAACGACAGGCTTAGGATTGCTACGAGACATATTGTGCTGCATGAGATATTCGGCAGCGTCTTCTTCGGCACTACCGCCAATCTCGCCAATTAGAACAATACCCTCGGTCTCAGGGTCAGCAAGGAACACCTTGAGGCAGTCGACAAAGTTGGTGCCGTTGAAGGGATCGCCACCAATACCAACACAAAGGGTTTGACCAAGACCAGCAGCGGTAGTTTGGGCAACAGCTTCATAAGTGAGAGTACCAGATCTGGATACAATGCCTAGACGCATTCCATATTGAAAGTATTAGTTGTATAATATTACACTTTAAAGTAGATGGCATAAAGTTACCGATTTTTCCAGGACGATGAATGTGACCAGGCATAATGCCAATCTTGCACTGGTCAGGCTTAATAATACCAGGACAGTTGGGGCCGATCAAACGAGACTTGTTCTGGTTCAACAAAATCTTCTTGACCTGATATTTTGAAATAAGGTGGTTGGTCAAGCTAGGAAATGCTGGATTGGAAGCTAAATGCAGTTCAAGCTATTCCATCAAAAATAAGTTTACCTTGACCATGTCTTGCTGAGGAATACCCTCGGTGATGCATACAACAAGGGGAATTTCAGCTTGGATCGCCTCAATAATAGCGGCAGCAGCACCTGGAGGAGGAACATAGATAACAGATGCATCGGGCTTGACTTCACTGACAGCCTAACAAGACAAATCAGAATCTGATATCATTCAAGAGCCAGAGAGAAAGTAGGAATACGCTACCTCTTTGACAGAGCCAAACACAGGCAGTCCAAGATGGGTAGTGCCAGCCTTTGAAGGAGAAGTACCTCCAACCATTCTTGTGCCATATTCGATAGCAGCCTTGGAGTGAAGAGTACCCTATATTGATCAAGCGTGAACACAGTTTTAAATGAGATCCAAAAACGGATTGCACATGGACAGATGGAGCAGCCGCCACAATGAGTAATTATCAGTTGAAAGATCAGCAAAACATAGTAAGAGTAGTCGATGCAGTGCCATGGATAAGTAGATCATTTAGTATAGTGAATGTATGCAGGCATTAGTTCAACCCTTTAAATCAACTCATTAATAGAGCTGGAAACCGGCCATTGATGCATACACCATCATCACAATAATAGTTACCATTTTTCCAGTGAAACCTTGACAGATAACCTTGGTATTCTTATCGATCATCATGTTGAGGGCAGTGTTGTTATATGAAGTAGTCATGGTAGATGCGAGTGTGCGACGGGCAGCTGGTTTAGTAGTCATGGCGTTTGTGATAGCAGTAAAACATGCATTCGGTTGATGAAATTAGTATTGCATCTACTGTACAACTATAGATATAAGCAGATGGCCATAGGAATATAGACAATGGGCCAATCAATGAGGTAGGCGATAATGATGAAGCGGTTGCACTTTGGTCTAAACTAGATCAGGTCATTTCAAAACAGCAGCAATAGCAACAGTACCATAAGCGGGAGATGCCCGCATTAACCCACTGGAAGTAACAGAGGGGATCTGACGAATAAGGCTGCTCATAGCTGGACAATATATGAGAAATAGATGAGTTTAAGAATTGAAAGAAAAACTCAAAATAACAAACTGGCTGGAAGTCCACAATTAATGGTGCTGTTCATGGCTGGCTTGCAGTTATAATGCCACAATTGATGAAATACACCAATCACATCAACTTACAGTGTATTCCTTTATTTTATAGTTGGGATTGTAATAGAGATTCAGTCAAAATCACATTCTATGCGTAAGCCAGTCAATCATGCCAACAAGACCACCAACAACAATAGCCAAAGGTGTAGGCAGCTTTAAAAATCCAGATGCAGTGTAGGAAAACACCGCAATCCCAAGATACACTGGATGACCAACAAGAGAATCTACAATGCCAAGACCATTGCTAGCAGGTGGCGCGTATGCCTTTTGGCCCAGTAGATATACAGCTGCAACAACCAAGCCTACAGCAGCAGCATTTACACCCTTGAAGATTGACTGAATCGACTTGAATGAGCGATACCGGTTCCACAGAGGCATAATACCAGTCATGAGTAAAAGACCAGGAAGGAAGATGCCAATGTTGGCAAGAATGGCTCCACTGATGCTCGAGCCAATCGATCCACGCAATGCCAACGCGCCAACATAGGATGCAATGTTAAAATTAGGTCCTGGAAGTGCATTGATGATGGCAAGACCAATCAGAAACTCCGAGTCGCTGAGCCAAGAGTTGGTCACGACGTAGTTTTGCAAAAGAGGAATGACTACTGGACCACCTCCGAAAATAATGGAACCGACAAAGTAAAGAGTACCCAGCACACTGAGTGGGCGAACGGTAGTCAAGGCACGCAAACCAATCGCAACAATCAGAAAAAGTAACCAGACACCAAGTATAATTAGACCAGTTTTGGGAGTGTAGCTAAATTGAACTGTAAAATCATCGTTTTCGGCAGGCATCGTCGTGACGGAAATGTTCTGATTTATAGTATTGCAGCCAGAACCAAGTGCATCGCTCTCTGCATGATAAGTTGTAATTCTTTGCCGCTCTTTTCGGTCAAGGTATTCCAGATACATGGCTTCGCTCCACGACACTATACCGCCAACAATCATTAGTACAGGAAACAGCCAAACTTCCTTGTATAGATTAATCGCCATGATGGCGGAAAAGGCACCAAGAGCACTGCAGATTGGATCTACTAAAAGTTTGATTCCAAGCTTGTATGCCGCAAGTGCAACAAGACCAACGGCAGCTGCTGTCAGACCGTTTTGAAGGTAGAGAACCCAAACTGGTAGAGATGAACCTAGCTGAGATACTCCGATGCCAAATCCCATCATGATGAGCATACATGGTAAGCTATTTTATGAAGATGGAGTTGATTGTGTCGAAAAATCTATTAGTCGGTTAGGATCAATTTGATGCCAGTTTTCAAACCAAAAGTATAATGCATATAACTAATTTAAAGCTTACCTCCAGATAACAAATGAAAGAAGACCTCCAAGAACACCAGCACGTGCTAACCCGATACTGTATCCCAGCTGAGTAGATGCTGGCCCAGGAAGAGCTTGGGCAATAGCAAACAGCTCAGCAAAAACATGACTTGGAAGCCATTTTCTATGCTCGACAAATTCATGAATGAACATGGCAATATGAACCTGTGGGCCACCAAACGACGTATAGGTCAAGGGCACATAGGCAGAGATAATTTCCCATAGTCGATATGATAGTGATGGAGATGTTACTTGAATGTTTTCGATTGCAGGTGAGGCCGAGTTTGCATTGGGCGGAGTAATTGGTGTAATCCCAATAGAATCGGAAAGTTGGTCAGCATCTTCGGAATGTAATCCAGTCCAATCAGCACAAGTAGGGTCTTCAGTCTCTTTAGAATGGATGATAATAGCAGTGACAGATTCAGTCATACTATAGAACTAGCAATCGAATTGATTTGTATTAAATGAGCGAACTTTTCCAAGATCTGGATTCAACAAACTCGATATTTAACCCAAATATATATCAAAGGAGTAAACCCAGTTTGTCAGCCATCTGATTATCCTGTTATATTGTAATCAATGGGTCATGTCACACTAGCAATCGATGCTTGCTGATGTTTTTACTAAAGACCCGTAGCTCACTAATTCAATATTGGCTTGCTGGCCAATAAAATCTGCCCGTGATGATTTGATTAGTAAATTGCAGATCAAAGTTTTAGTGGTTTATATGCCATTGTGGCTTTGACTATATTTACTTGTACAAGCAGTATGAATGGAGTCGATATTATATCAAGTAAACAACAATAAGCATTTCAAAGTCTCGTGGTAAATATATGTCCTGAGAATGTGTTTGCACATCAGCCTGTATCTGACCGAGTATTTTTGAAAATGACAAACGTGGATTGTCAATCACTCAGAATAAGCTTTTCGTGCCATATATTGAATTGGCTGCACTTGACGTCAAACAGTATCCAAAGATGCAATCATTACCACTAGAGGTGAGCTTTAGGGATTATATTACTGCATTTCCAAGTGAAATCCCAACACATTAGTAAGAGATGGCACCATTACTAATCAATCGGTTTGGTAGATTATTCAAATCATATTTACGCCATTATCAATATTTGACCATATCACCTTATGGAACACCAGCAGCAAGTTTCGAAAAGCACTCAATACTAGAAAGTATTGGAGTACACTTGATATCACACATATATTGTCTAAAAAGGATGGAAAGCAGTTCATTGATAGATTTATGTTTTATCTGTTGCCATCACTTGGCCGTCACGTTCAAAATATCATTGCAACCAGAGCTGCTAGACAATTCACTGATACCCATCTTGATCAAGTGTCCCGTTATATTCCCCAGCTGTCATCGCTTCAACTGGGCGGAACAAGCATCACTCAGCAAGGAATGATAATGTTTATACAAACTACAAGATCATTCAAGACCCTCGCCTACATCGACATCTCCAATACTCCTGCAGTAACAGATCCAGTTATATCCACACTTGCATCATCCCTGTTTGACAGCCTTAAAACCCTCGATATATCTCATTTTCGTCAATCCAATATTTCTTCAAAGGGTGCATCAAAACTCTATACCAACACTTCCATCTGCGCATCTCTCCACATACTCAAGCTCTGCGGATGTACAAAACTAGACGATCAGGCGTTGATGGTACTGGGCAAAAATTGTAAAGGATTGGCCGGGTTGGACTGCTCTGGAGCGTTTCTAATTGGCGATGTGGGTGTGAGAGCCGTGCTTCGTGGGTGCATGTTTCTCAAGGATGTAGGATTTGCGTTTTGTTGGCGCATCACCGATCAGGCATTTGCTGAGGCTGGTGAGGCGATTGTGGCAGATATAGATAATGGCTTTGTAGATGTTGTTGGCCAGTATCTAGAAAACATACAGTTACAGTACTGCTATATGTTGTCGGATCGAGCTGTTGGGTATTTGAGCAGGCTACCAAGTCTAAAAAAGGTGAACCTGACCAAATGCAGCAGTGTTACTAGCTTTGCAATCGAACGACTTGGCTCCAGAGCAATTGTTGCAGAATGAAATTATGATTGGACGTGCCAAATCACTAGTACACAGTTCGCTACTGGAAGCTTTGGCTAGATGTAAATGTTGGGGTCGGATGAAGCACTAACTTGATCAAATGGCCAGTAACACGTTGGTCGATTATCAAACGATTATAATGTATTTATTGTAGTGTAATTATATTTTCAATCAATCTTCTAAAAACATCAAGTACGGGTTGTTCTAATGGACCGGCCATATGTAGTTCGTCGTGTAAGAAGCGAGCCAGGCTTGACAGTTGTATCTAGCAAAATACCGTACAAAAACAGAGCAACAGAAATCATTTCAAAAAAATGGCTTGCTGACTCGCCTATAAGAAACAAATAGGGATTGTGTCGAAAGCAGATTATTTTGACTATCATGATAAGGGCAGACGTTAGTCCTGCTGTTGCTGGGCCTAGAGATATGACACGAACTTTTTTGATAAGGCGATCACGTTTTCCCTCCTTGTCTTTCCGCACCAATTTCAGTCGACTGGTAAAGAGGTATCCGTAGTAGAGATATAAAGGTACAAAAAGAACCATGATTAACGTCATGCTAAGCGTGTCGGCAAACAGGATCTGTCGACTATTAACGTGGTTGAGCTGGGATATGGTAATGAAAACTTGAAGAGAAACAAATGACAAAACAAGGATAGTTGCGCCAATATGTGCAAAGCGTAGCGTTTTTGATGGAGTCAAGGCGAGAGCTGTCCGGCAGATGTCAACCCAATGTAGTGCCATAATAACGTAGGCAAGGATGAAAAAAAGATAAAATGATGACAGCAGCATGCGGGATACAATTGGACTAATGGTGCTGCTGACTGAATAGGGATCTATTGAAAAAAACAAAAAGCGAGCTACAACAAAGTGATTAGAGGTTGGTGTTGTGTAATCATAAAAGAATCAATTGCAAAAGTATTCACAAATAGATCATTAAATAAGGGCGTCAAATACATGATAGACAGCCAGTCTCATGAAATGATGACTGAAAATCTTACTGGGCAACATTGTGCCCTTTAAACTCTTATACAAGATGAATACAGGTTCCATTTTAATGAATACGGCAGTAAATTAGTTGCATAGAGATCCAAAGAATGGAAAGGAAAGTAAGAATGCTACAAACAAGCAGATGAGATCTATTCAACTTACTGAATATGGCCGTGTGAATCAGGCATTGGCAGATGTGCCGTACACCTCCCAAGTACCAGCCATTTGCTCTAAACGTTTGGTAGTTGAAAAAACTTAGTAGCAGCAAACATAGCGTGTACACTAGCAGCCATGAGTATCGAAAGTAGGGCCATGCATAGCTAAATGAAAGACGATAGTTACTGCAGTCTAGTCCGTATGTTTTCCACCATGATGGTATTCTGGGTGGTGGACACTGACAAGCTCCATTTTTTAAGCATTTTCCTACTCCTGAACAATTGTTGAGGCATCCCGAAAACGTGGTCTTGTTTGCTACAGTTTAACTACATTAGCGATTTATCCTCGAGTTTAACCATTTAATGATTAAACTGGTCTTACCTTGATGCGCATCCAAAGATAGTTCATGATCTAACGACGATGTACTTGCTGGCAATATGGCCAAAGTGGCAGTTGCCGTACTTGAAGAAATAGGTGTAGACGTTGCTGGAGATTCAGACCAAGACTCCTTTGATTGAAGTGAGGTGGAATTAATAGACTGTGCCTGAGTAATGCCCATCAAACAAGTCAATAGTAGGGTATAGAAGAGCGGCATGAATGTGATGGTTAGTAGCCGAGAAAGGACTCGCCTGTGACGTCCAAGACAAGACAACATCTTGATTGGATGTACTATCTATGCTACCAAGCCACAATAGCAGAAGGACAAACGACTAGTGCTAAATGATCCAAGAGAGTGGTCAATGAGGATGAATTCGTCGTTGTGGATTGAAAGACTGTAAGTGGGCTAAACCCAAACGATGTGACCAAAGTAAGAATCCTAAAGTTGAAGATGAAAAATGGATGCAACCTTGGCAGCCCTGCGCTTGACCATCCTGGGGTGTCCCGCCAGCAAGGGAGGAAAGGATTGCAATCAAGGGAGGGTTGTAATCAAATGGGATGACAAAGCACAAGAATGTTGGTGTTTGGACATCGAGTTTGCAGCTGTATTCACGCAGAACGAAACACTCGACTAGAATACATAAACAGCCAATCTCACTGGACAGCACTGTGTCTTAAACTCCTTGACAGGGATGTGTTTGTACAGAGTCTGATTGACAGCAGTCAAACTCAATATCTGGATTAAAATGAATCTGTCAATCAGTGTATGACTCGAGAGGTGAAAGGATAGTTCAAATTATAACTGTGCATCATATCGTGGTTCTTGTTTATTGATCGAGTCTTTGGAATAGAAAATGATTGAATATTCGTTCTTCTACAAACTGACTGTTTATTCAAGACAGTCACTGCAGAATGAATACGACTGTAATAGCATGGAATAGTTTCGTGCCAGCAACACGAATCACCAACACCCAGTGACCAGCTTGAACTTTACACTTGATGTTTGAGTGGTGCCGTAGTTGGGCATATATACTTGTCAATATGTGACTAGAAACTTGGTGTTATGGTTTATTTCATATTGGTAATATCCACTATATCTGGTAAGGCTTCTAGTGCCAGATTCCTTAGCCACAATACTCGAGCAAACCACCCCATAATAATCCTCATTTCCTCCTTTTAATTACATTTGAAAGTTAGTGTTCGACTTGAAATCAATGACAGATATCATAGCGTACCTGAGATTGAGGCATTGTATGTCCTTTTCCCGCTATCACACCAACTTGAAGTTGATCCTCCGTTTCTACAAACCTACGCAATACCGATTTCTGTTTACCGTATCAATATACGGTAAATGCAGTTTAAACATATTAACAAAATAATCAAACTTGATATTCTGGCAGTCATTTAAATACAAACCTTGGATTCAAATAACTTCATGTCAAATGCACCGTCACTTATGCCCTGTGTCACCAGCACTGATGTTTTTTTGACAACTCTCCCATTGATACTGGTGTTGGATGAATCGTATCTATCCATATCAATCCACCCACTAATGCTCACAACACCACCCAGCTCCAGAGCTCGTGGCATCTCAGAAGTGTATGTATCCGGCCAAGAGCCCATCAAGGCTACATCCAATGCCATTATGCCACCCTGAGAAAATCCCAATAGAAACACTCGCTCTGCAGGCCATCCATCTGGATGCTCCTTGGATGCAATCACACATTCCGTCAAAAAGGAGCATATCAAAGATCGTGTAGACTGGATGCCTTTTCGCAATTGCTTGCATCCGCTGTCTAGATCTGTTACTCCAATGACAATTAGAAAAGATGATCGTGCCAACTGTATACTTTCTAGGACTAGAATCGCATATTACCTGTGCAGTCAACTTGATTGTATGCAGGAAACCAACCAGTACCTTGATCATAGTAAGGGATATTGGAAGGCCCTGCGATTGCACAGATGGCTGTCTGCGGCAACTGCATCTTGACTCCAAACTGCACAAAGTTGGCTTATGTGCACAGATTGGCATATGTTAGTGGATACTTTTAAATCCCATTCATAATTGCTTGACAGAGATTAGATTGATGTATATATCTGCAATGTACCTGCAGTATCTCCCAATCCATGAAGTAGAATCAGAATGTTGCTATTGACTTTATCATTGCTAGACCGAAACTCTTGCTACTCAAACCAGAAATAACCATTGTTAGTGGATCGTTTCTGATTATAGTTCAAACTACTAATGCATAATGGTACATTTATTCGGCAGGGCTATCAAACCTTTAGTCCTGCAAACTTGGTAATTGTTTTGAGCGTTGGCATAGTCGATGGATTGGTGTTCCAGCAGAGTTTTTTGGCATCAAAGGTCAAGACAAAAGGATGAGAATGGACAGATGATGTGTTTATATTTCAACAACCCAATTTCATCATGTTTTGAAAATATTGATGGCATCAATCAGGCTACTGTTGCAGCATTTCAGAAGCATGGATTGCCCGTTTGTAAGACTGCACGATTGTTTTAGGTTAGTGCAAGCTCTATTGGGGCGAAAGACTCAAGCTATAATTTGACCGTATGCATTATATCATGGTCGTTGTGCCTATTGAATGAGAGTTTTATTGAAGCAATGAATCTTTAATAGAAATCGCAACGAATATTTAACCATTATTTCAAGGCAAGAGTGTTTCATTTTACGTGAATACGGCTGTAAGATAAGCCTAACATGGATCGCATTTATTTGACCCATCTATGCACTTTTAAAACTAATCAAAAATAGCTTCAGTTTTGAAGGTAGGAGTGTTTTGAAGATCTAATCAAATGCAGGCAATCCAAATGCAGCAGGATCAAACTCTTCCATACTCTTTAAAAGCAAATCTGCTCTACTTTTCAGTCCCTCATCCACGGCCATATTAGCATCTGGAATCCAAACAGTTTGCATTTTTGCATTTAACCCAGCCATAATACCCGAGGGCGAGTCTTCAAACACGATACAGCTGCGTGGGTTCTCCAGCGTATTGCCAATCAACTTGGCAGCAGCAAGGAAAATATCAGGAGCAGGCTTGCCATGGACAACACCCTCATCGTTTCCACAAACAACATTGCCGTCGAAAAGAGAAAACAACTCTTGATTGTTTTGGGACTTGAGAGCAAATGCGTCTCTGAATGAAGATGTTCCAACCTTTTGAACATTGACGATTTAGCTATTCTGAATGTCAGATAATGAATAACAATACACCTACCGCAATGGGGATGTTATGTTTCTTCAAGTGCTTCACTAGTCGTAGCACGCCTGGAAGCGGCTTACAGAACGGAAATCTGGCTTGCTATAATATAAATATGATTTCAGCCATGATGTCAAACTCCAATCGGATATCCATACCATTCATTCTTACATGTCCAATCTTTCGTTCGGCAATATACTCTTCAGGAGTCATTGGGATCTGTAACAATTTTACGAGTAGCTCGCCAGCCTAGATTCACATTTATAAGCAAACGGTGTTTACATGGCAGATGTCTGCTAAACAGATCGTTCAACTACATACATCGGTTTCTTTAAGACCAATCAGCTTGGACTTGGTTTCCCAGTCATACGTTTTACCGTAGCGGCCAACTATTTCTTGTGTAACCTCGGTATACACTCTCTCAGTGTCCTATTCCCAAACAGTCCAATGGTAATACATGTATGATTTAATTATAAGCGATTGGCTGCAGTCTTTAAAAGATAGATTGACTGTTTAGATGGTAACTTACCAGGAGCAGTCTGTTATGTTGATAATGCAAGCAGTATTGACAATGTTCAGATTCCAAAGTAATTATTGAATTAGCTGGGCTCTGTTACCATCCATTCAATCAGAGTGCAAATACAATGTACATGAGCCTACCCATCCATATCAAACAGAACATGGGTAACGGTGCATTGGGTTGGAACAACCATACTTTCAAATCGGTAACAAAATGACGGGCAAATGTTTGATGTTTATCAAGTTGCCTTTCTATTTAGTGCATTCAAAGCATTGCTCGAAATAAAGTTTGCAAATGTCAGATTTGGCAGTAATTAGCAAGATTCCAAATACTCGTGAATTTATTAATCAAGAACTGCTATCTTGCAGAGATAAGAGAGTTTCAACTTCTTCCACACTTCGTACAATCAAACTGGAAGGAAATTCGTACTAAAAGAATGATGGACTGTAAATAAAGATATTGATACTAAACGACCAAAGGAAAAGCATAAATAATATGGAATAATATGAAATCTAACCTTGTTAATTGGATCCATGATCTTGGCCACAATGTTACGATATGTATCGACAAACTTCCTGAACCCACGTTGCGAAACCCGCCGAGCAATTTGCACACTACTGATCCTCGACAGTGTTTCAGCAACATCGACCGTTACAGTAACCAAAAATAAGTCGAGTTTGGCAATGGCTTCTGCTACAGCTTTTGCATCGACCGTGCGTGTGTGAGCCAAAGGTGGTTGCAGAGTTTCCATGTGCATTACCAAGTTTTCAAGACCAGATTGGCTTAGAATCACCGAGTATTGTTCTTGGACTAGCACATGAATCTGTGAATCAATTTGGTCCTGTATTTCTTTGATCTGAGTTGCTGCAAATGAAAAGGATGAAAGCGCCATCTAATTTATTGTTACCATAATTCAAATCAGTTCGTGAATCGATACAAAATACCCATTTGTATCAAAAAAGAGGTTATACCTGGATGTAGCAAAGACAGTTTACCATATACATAGCACTTTCTAGCGGCTTTAAGCTAGCCGATCCAATCTCACACAACTTTAACACTGGCTCAAGTAATGTGTTGACAATTTGTCTAAAATCGCCTTCTTGTCCAGATGAACTTAAAAGTGACTCGTCATGCGAAAGCATAATTTCTCGCTATTTACCAATGATTTGTAGTAAATCAACAGCACGTGAGTTTTACTGATTCAAGTCTAATTTACAAGTAGATAAGCTCAACATAAATGTACCAGTTGAGATATTGTATCCTTGACAATTTGAGGAGGCTGTAAATCAAAACTCGGAGCATCCACAAATCGTAGCATATCTGCAGCTTGAGCCATAAGAGCACTAAAGAAAATCTTGAACGCATCCTGGATCAATCTAATCCCATAAAAGGTAAATAAATGTATTGCCTATATTTCAATTGCAATCATTCAAAAAGTAAAGCTACTATAGATACTTACTCGTCAAATAAGGCAGAAATTTCAGAAGAAGAGCCAATGACCTTAATAATGGTGTGGGAATAAAATTGTACAAGGTTTGCAATACGATAGGATGTGATGGGACCTAGACCTGATTGAAGAACCGATACAATACGAGACTACAGTATAAAAATCGAGTTTAACATTGAGATATACAGGTGTCAGAATATCAAACCACCTATAAATAAAAGCATTATAAACAGTCATTTACCTTGAGAGGACGACAAACGCCTTCCAAATTTTTTTCCAGTACACGAAGAAGCAGTTCGTCGTCAGCCTGGTATCCTTTAATCTCCCTCAATGCAGACTGATCGGATGCATTGGTTGTCGGAATTTGTCGTTCACGAGCTATTACCTCGAAAAAATGTGACATTAGTATTAGAACCACTCGGTACTATTCTACAGTATAAACTTACATGCGACTGAAGCAAGATCAAAGAGTCCTTCAAGCATTTCTCGTTCGCTAACAGCTGCTTGATGCACCCATGCAAGAATGTCTCCAGTATATCGCAATACATCGTGAGCATGCACTTCAATAGGTCGAGGAAATCCTCCTGGTCCACCTACACTCAATGCGTTTTGGAAACTCCTAATGTTTGTTGCGCGTCGAATATTAGAGACCTCTTCCATGCACGATCTAGAAAATTGGTTCAAGTATAGTATTGATGCGCACAAGGTCATAATAAGCACGCGAGTGACCAGACAATCCAAGTTTTGTAACAATCATTTCAAAGTATACTCAACTCAAATAAAATAGGTCTCTGTTTAAGTGTTTGAATGCCTTTTTTGAGTTCAACCGTTATTTCTGGAGATTCCGACTTCAAAAGTCTGCACTCTGCCAAAGCCCACCTAAACAGCTTTTCAAATGCCGACTCCTGGTACATGTTAGTGGTTTCCATGATTTCCAAACTATGCGTTGAGAATATCAATTGCTCGACGTTAGATTTTGTTAAAATTTCGATTACTTGTAGCAAAAGCCCGACAATTGAATGCAAAATAAACTTACCCAAGCCGTTGGTTTTCACCAATCAATAATGTCTGACAATCTGTTTGTATATTTTGAACACGGGAAAGTGCAGCAAAAAATGCAGTGTTCACAGTCTCGCTTGATGTAGCCAGTAGACGAATCTCTGTATCTGACAGTGTAAACCGTTCCAAAAGTGCATCTACAACAACTTTGCGATACGAAGCTTGCTCACTAGGCGTTTCCAAACACATTAGGAAAATGGTAAGTAGTCATGCTGGTGGATAGAATAAAAAACTATAGCCGTTACACCACCAACCTTTTAGTTTTCATATCTTGGGTATGTTTAAGAACAGATGCAGCATTTTTATATGCGGCTTTGAGTTGAATATCCATTTGCTCACATCGATTGCCAATACTGTCGATATGGCTCTCAATCCCGATTAGTTGCTAATGATATTGACCAAAACACATCCATTTACAATATGTTTTAAATATAATCTGGTAGATTTCATTAATTTGTTGCAGCAGCAACTTAGGGTTACAGATCTGCATTAGCTGGCACCAAGAGTTGGACGCCGACATTCTTAAGCTGCATAAACAGCACTCGAGAATGTACTTCGTGTAAGCATGAGTACTTACAGAATGGAGAGCATCAAATGCGGCCAAAAACTCCTTGCTGACCCCAGAAACTTGTTTCTCAACATGGCTTTTGAGATTGCGTCTAGCACTGGGAGTGTTTTGTGGATAGATATCTGACAAGGCAGATAGCGCTTCTTGCGTTTCTGGTTCATCCAGAGACTACAGTATACACATGGTTGAGTTTCAGTAATTATAGTGCTGGAACGATTGAGTGCTGATGACGCAGCTAGTTGGACATGTCAATTGCTGTTGTTGGACTCATAATGGTAGTACTCACTAGGTGTAATACTTTGGTGAGTTTTCTGTAGAGAGGATATCCAGTAGATAGTTTATTCTGAGGCTGGAGTTCTTCTGCATTTTGAAAGAACCCGGCAGTGGGAGTGTCACCACCAGCTCCCAATGGCAGAGTCATTGAAGTCAACTTGAATATGTCGAGTCCAAAATCAACCTTCTTACAGCCGTATTCACGTAAAATGAAACACTTGCAATGAAATAATGGTTAAATATTCGTTGCGATTTCTATTAAAGATTCATTGCTTGAATAAAACTCTCATTCAATAGGCACAACGACCATGATATAATGCATACGGTCAAATTATAGCTTGAATCTTTCGCCTCAATACAGTCATATGTTGTATAATCTCCAGATTCATCCATTGCAATCCAAATATTGAGTTTGATTGTTGCCAATACGACTCTATACAAGCCCATATCTATGTTTATAATCAAAACTACTTCAGTTTCCAATTTATAGCTACAAATGAAATAAATGAGATTGGCGATAAAGGTTTAAAAATCCTTATTCCGTTGCTGGACTGGACTTGGTTTTGACCATGGAGTCGACATCAATCCAAAAAATGGAAACATGGATGGTTTTTGATACGGTAGAACCTTCTGCTCTTCTTGCTGTGGAGATGGCTCAAACATATCTACCACAATGATGGCTGAAACAAGTCCAATGACCATCCCTAATCCACAGTATTATATCAATAATGTCAATGCAATGATTTAAAGCGTAGCCCATACTATTGTGTTCCAAATAAACCAAAGTAGTGATCCACTTACAAACGATCATCTGAGTCATCTCCACTTTCATCGTTTCTATTTTAGTCTTTAAATCACTTAGTTTGAGCACGAGTTTATGATGAATCTCTTGGATACGCAGATCAGTGTCAGTTCCCAACTCACGCGAATCTGCCTTGTGGTTGTTAAGATCCATAGCCACCTCGCCCTTGAGAGAAGCAAGTATATCAACAAACTTTTGATGCAGAGATTCTATTTCTCGAATGGTAGTTTCTGTATCTGCCTTGAGACTTGCGGAATCGTTTTGGCGAAGAAGTTGGAGTTCATTCCGTAGTTCTTGGAGTTGGGCTTTGTAAAGATAGATTTCCTTTCGAGAAATATTAGAAGTATTAGTTGAGATCTAAACGACAGCAATATAATCAATCATGTACATTTTCCAGCTCAACCGTAGAAAGAGTAGCAGCCCTGACTGCCATAGTATCATCAACAAGAAATGCATTGATGGTGCGCATGATGGCTACAGCCTGGCCTCGAGTGAGTCCCTGCAGTTCAAGCTGCCTAACAAGCTTGTACGTATCAAAGTTGAATCGGGTAGTGATGGGACGAGCACTGCTATAGTGAGACAATGATGACAAGGCTACAGACTGTTGAGATGAAGAGACAGAATATCGAGCAATTGGTGGTTTGGCGATGTGAGCCAGAGTGACAGCATGACGACTCCATCCATGTCTGCACTGTGTCAAATGAATGATGTTTCTAGTGTGTCTCACAGCCAACGCATTCATGGCAACAGCGTCGATTCAACTCGTAGCAATAGTCGACTCGAGTCGAAATTTTCTTTCCTGCTTCAGCCAAAGTGCAACCATGAGCATTGCTTATCAGAGATTATTGCTAAAGAACACTTCTTTCAATACTGCTTGCGTCTATTATCGATCCTACTCCACTGTTCCTATCTTCAATCAAGTAGACGAATCTAATTCAAATGGTCGTCCTCAAAATCCTGCCTATTTCACTGGCAATCCACAATACTTTGCTCTCTTGCAACAGTTAAACGCTCTGATTAGAAAACACAATATTCCATTTAGATCAACTCCTAAAGCTGCTGGTCATTGGCAACCTCAATTCAGCATGACCAATCTTATGCATATGCGTCTCAAAAAAACAGATTATACCGATCTAGTTCACAGACTCAATCTGTTGTATGCCTTTCAAAGTAATTATGCTATGATATAGAGTAGATTCGTATACTTGGGCTTAAAGGTCTGATTCACTTGTTTCATGTATTTTGAATTAAACCATTTTAATCAGATGAAGATCCTGCAGTCAAGTCGCTTTTGCAAAAGTTTGTTCCAATTGGCAAGACACTCTCCTTGTCCACGCCTACCATTCGCACTCTCGATGCAGATGGTAGATCTTACACTATTGGATCCAGAAAAACTGCCCGTGCACAATGCTGGATTGTTCCTGGAAATGGTCAAGTCTATGTCAATGGCATCCGACTTCCTGAATACTTTCGCGATATGGTCAATCGTGAAGTCATTGTAAAACCATTCGAGGTTGCCAATTGTTTAATGAAATACAACACCTGGGCAATTGTATCTGGTGGTGGTCATTCAGGTATTGTTGATATTTAAAAGAAAAGGTGTCTTGGCTTTTGAATTCTAGATTAATACTTGTAATATCTTTCTAGGCCAAGCTCAAGCTGTCGCTGTCGCTGTAGCTCGTGGCATAGCAATACATGATTCTACCAAGGAAAACTTGTTTAAAAAACGTAAGTCAATCTCACTTTAGACTCTGGTCACGTTGGGCCATGAACTTTCAATCCTTTTCCCATTCCAGTTTAGGTATTAACCTTGCCCTTAACTGTCCTACTTGTTGGTTTAGTTGGAATGCTCATGATCGATACTCGCCAAGTTGAACGTAAAAAAACTGGACAGCCTGGTGCGAGAAAGAAGAACACTTGGGTTAGACGTTAAATTGGTCAAATACAATCATCACTGGTTTATTCTCTGAAATGAGATATGTTTTAGCAAAAAAGTTTTATTGAATGCGTTTTCTGAGCAAGTTGATTTAAACCACAATGACATGGTCATTTAGACATACTTTTGTACTACAACAGCATTCAAAAGTCCTGCATCCTTGATAGTCTGAGACAGGTCTGTCAGTTGGCGCACTGGAATTGTTGTCTGAAGAACAAATGCTTGAGCCGCACCTCCAGGTCTTGATCTAGTAGTCATATGCAAAAACCATAAGCTTGGCGTTCATATTACATGTGCTTTGTAAACCCAATTTAATTCAACACTTACGCCCGAACAAACGAACAGATATCCTGAACGGTGTGCGTGTGATTAAACTTGGCGACCATTCTATATATTTATCGTGCAAAATGTACAGTATAAGGCGGGTTAAACCAATTGCACATCCAGCAATAATTCAATAGGCGGGTGATTTTAGAAAGCTACAAACTGAAACCATACCGTGTTCCATCACCAAGACGAATCTGAATAGAAGTGGTAGGCATATCAGCATCAATAGTGACTAGAGGACCTATAGTGGACGTAGGAGTCAACATTGGTATAGCATTAGGTACAGTAGTTGTGCAAGAAAATGATGGAGATGTCGGATACGCGCCTGGAATAGAGACTTGCACAGATGCGTTTTGACTGGAAGACGGTCCACCAGCAACTATGCCTCCAAGTCGGTTTCCAGATCCAGAAAACGCAGCCATGGGTTGTTTTGGTGGTGGCTGATAGTCTTGTTGCATGCAATGGGCAACTTTAACTTCGACTGGCTGGCCATATGCGACATTCAGCATAGAAGTGGGTGCACGACTAATTGTGTGGCCAAGATTTGCAATACAATAAACACATACCATGATAGATATTAGAATACAAAGTCAAGAGATACTGATAATGATTGAGTTGATATACCCGCTATTAATGGCTTTGAGAAATTCTTGGTTGACTGGGTCATCATATTCACGCAAAGGACCATCATCAATACTGAATCCGTTTCTCCAAAACGTCAAATGTCGTTCAACCTAATTACATCAATAGCATACACAGTTGAAAAAGTCAGTTTGCTGAGCAATAAAAAACACAGGACTTGAACCAAAATACCAAATTCATACACGTTGAGTGCTAGGATCGGTTACTTGCTCAACTGGTTGCAGAGGACCAGTATCTACATCTTCCTCAGATCCAAGACGACGTCCTATTCATCAGTCAATTTTCAATAAGATATATTATTAGAAAACAGTAGAAAATCAAGCATTAAAGAGTGCCAAACACCTACCAGAACCACCAAAAAACAATGGTTTGGTCTCCTTTTCAAGCTCTTCCGAAGACGGGCCAGATCTGAGCGGCAAAAATCAAAACATTGATAAAATGAGCAACTTTAAATGTCGGCAATAAACTAAACCCACACATAATTTACTTTGCTGCTTTGGTGAGAATATTCTTGACAAGATTAAGTGCATCTCCTTTCTTTTCTTTGGGTCCTCCCTGCATCATGACCCCACTAACAACATGGTTTACTGTTAAATTAGCACATTGTTGCGAATGAATATAGCTCCTTGTGTTACAATTCAACAATCCAAAGTTTTGTCGTACGATTTTTCACCGCCAGCAAAATAGTTTTCCCTTTCTTCTTGATCATCTTCTTTATCACTTGTAGATGCAAGCATTTCCTGAAACGTTTTGACGCGGGAATTACTAGAGCTAAAGCCAGAGGCATTCTTTCCTGTACTAGATCTAAAATACAACATTAATTGAGTTCATGTCAGTATAGAGAATATTGGTTGAAACTGTGAAGAGATTAAGATGCAATATAGCAACAAGTGACTTACTTGGGTAGGTTATTGGCTTGAGATGGAAAAGGAGCAGTGCTATGCTCCTGAATTGGCGCAGAGCCAGCAGCAGATTGTTCAGCAGCACTCTGAGATTCAAAAAAAGTACTAATGGCAGTCTACAAAGCACAGTTATTAAAAGGTATTCAAGATTATATTCTAGTTGAGCATAGACACTACAGGAATGAGTAAACTAGTGATTCAGTTCTTTCAAGATACTAGCACCAACCTGCAAGTCCCAGTCAGAAGACTCTAGAAAAAACTGGGCTGTAGCAGACGGTTGATTACAAGTGTATATTGAATTGGTTAGAAGTATACATGTAACCGATGCTTGCACATCACATTGCTAGATTAGGTGTACAAGACAATATAGTATATCAAGTCATGGCAGTACCTTGAGATCCATTCAAGCCAGTAACAGCTGCAAACTGAGCAAGGGTTTCGTCGCGAGAACTGCTGTCATCCGCCATTGAAATGAAGTCTTTGCTAAAGAGTTGGATAACTATAAATCTTGGTTTCATTGAATGGATGCGCTTGACAAGCACGCATTTCATTATCTGATATTTCGATGCACAAGACTGATACAGAGTGGGGTTGAGTGTATTTTATGACTCGAGTCTAAATAACAAATATCTTTCCATAACGATCAGCTATTATTAACTCTTCAAAGCGCTGTCTATTCCATTCGATGTATTCCAACTACTGCAGTTGATATCTAGTCAACTGCAGCCCACTCACGTGATTTATTTGTGATGAAATCAAACTTGTTTTCTTGATGTTGGCGGCTCAACAGTTCTGCATTGAGTTTATCTGAGAATGGGTTCTGGCCAAAGTACCGATGACCAAGATATGTCTGGAGAGACTCATGGATACCATGTTATGCAGGCTAGTTATAGTTGTTTACTTGATTTGTCCTACTTGATGTATACTTTATTCACCAATCGACTGATGTTTAGGTGGTGCCCAACAGTCCTGCATCAAAGGCTGGGTTGGAAATATTTTTTGATTATATTACCCATGTTAATGGACTGTATGTACGAATGTCTACTTGGAATCATGACTTTTGATACATGATTTTCAATAAAACTAACTCATTATATTCTATGTAGACGGCTTGTAAGTGCTGCGTTTTAAAGGTGGGGTGATTCTTGGCAAGATCTAATCTTTTCAAATATTTTGTAGGATCGAGAGCCTATTGTTTTAGCAAGCCAACTTCGAAGTAACATTGGAAAACCTGTCAATTTGGTCGTGTATAGTTCAAAGACATTGGGTGCCAGAAGTGAGTCTACGTGAATAGTCTAATTATGCATGGGATTTGTTGAATTACTTTAACCAACTTGCCTTGTACACTATATAGATGTGACAGTTGTTCCGGAAAAAAATGATTATGGGATCCTTGGATGCAGTGTTCGATTTTGCGATTTTGGCGATGTTCATGACCACATTTGGCATATTATTGAAGTGTATGTGCATATTTATGGTCTCGATAGTGTATCTTAATAGCTGTTTATTTTACCACTGTCTACTATTTTAAACTTCAGACATGCCAACTCTCCTGCAGAAATTGCTGGTCTTCGAGAAAAATCAGATTATATTATTGGCACACCCAATACAACTTTAGAAGAAAAGGACGATTTTTACAATCTAGTCAAAAAACATGCCAACATTCCACTGCAGCTCTATGTTTATAATTCTGATTCTGATTCGATACGAGAGGTATTAATTGTTCCCAATAACGACTGGGATGGCGAAGGATTGTATGAGTAGCTTTCTAGATATAATGGAGATTTATGTCAAATTATTTTGGGTATTAACAATTAAATCTAGGCTTGGATGTGATGTTGGGTATGGTCGTTTGCATCGTATCGCAGCAGAGAATTTACACCATACTACGGATGATCATGAACATGGGCATCATGAACATGAACATCATGGACATGAGCATAAACACCATAACCACCATGGACATGAGCATGGACATGAACATCATGACCACCAGGAGCATAAACATCATGACCACCAGGAGCATAAACATCATGACCACCAGGAGCATAGTTCTTCAAAAGACTCGAAGCCGAAACATGTAGATTCAAACCAACATGCAGAACACGATCACTCCGAGAATCACCACGAACATGACCATGCAGATCCTTGTATGCATGATGTGTGTGATAGTCATGATCACAACATGATCACAGATACCTCACTCAAGCAGGATCAGCAGAGTCAATCGCACGAAACAGCTGAAGAATTCGACGAAAAATCAATCACCGAGCTGCATCATTTACTGCAAGCAGTTGAATTACAGACGTATCCATGAAAAATGAAACCCTAAATAAGAGTATCAGTGTATAATAAACGGCCAATCTCATGGAATGATGGGTGTCAATTTACTGGATAGCATTGTTTTTTGAGCTCTTTAGTTGACTAGTTTCCTGGTGACTGGCATGAAAACAACAGTTGCATCCATGAGATGTGCAGATACATCGCGAGATTTTAGGATACCAAGTATTATCGAGAATAGAAAAACAACACCAATATCAGGATTAAGATGTATGAATCTGGCAATCGCAATGTATGGCTATGTAAAAAGGACAGTTTCAGTTTAAACTATAGTTTGTGAGCATCATACCATGGATGTTGTGTTTGGAAGAATTGAGAATATCTATTGGATACGAATCAATTCTAATAGGAAAAGCACAGCGAATATCTAGCATTGTTTATCCTCGAGTAAAATAGATGCAGTGACTGCAAAGTAGTGTTCCATCTCATGTGAATATGGCTGTACAATAAATCCATTGTCTAGTTGCATTTGAAAACAAGTGGTCATTGGATAGGGTACTACACAAACGGAGAAGCACATGTTGTATGGATGATGCTTGACTCGAATGATCAAGCAATTACATTGTGGCTGTAAATGAAAGTATTTCGCCAATTGGCTCAAATCTTTGCCAAGTCGAACATCTGGCTCACTCACAGGACTGACGACATATTTGATCCAATCAACATCTTGACAATTAGACTTGGCATTCTTGGAATTTCGTATAAATAGCAGTTGGATCTGGTAGGTCTTATTTTCATTCCATAGTATTGCTACTGATCCACTCGTTAACCAACTCATCTTGAAATGATACCCACTGCTGCCACCATTCTCAGCATGAGAGTACACCCGCATTGCCATTGTAACACTGTTAATGCAGCATCAAATCAACATATATCACAGCAATCTACTCAGCTAATTTCCCAGCAGGAACAACCATCTCCACCATTAATACACAAGATCTTGGCCAGTCTATCGTTTTCTCCTGGCTATTGACTCGTCCAGATGCATTCCCAGTTGGCTAGACTTGCTCGTGTTATACCACCTTTGAACATTGAATCGAGCTATGCTTGGCTACCAGTCTTTATAATGCGCTCAACACCTTGTACAAATATATATTATTTATCAAATCTGAATGATGGCTTATCCAAGATCAATGAATAAAATTAGATCGACAAAGTATGCATGAGATTGTATTTTCGATTCAGCTTTATCCCATTTCAATCGAGTTTTTTGGTGTATTATGAGTGCATTACGTACTAGTGTTGGTGAGAACATAGCAGACTTGCCAGTCACACTTGTCCAAAGCCAATCCAGTCATCCAGTTTCAACACATGAGCAATCAAAACAGACTACCCAACTAAGATGCAGGAAATGCAGGTATTTGAAAGAATCCGAGTCTTGTCAAACCTTTTGGGATATTTGCCCATTTTGTTGGTCACATTCCATGATAGCAAGTAGTAATCAACCTTTTTGATTCCAGATTGCAATTGGCTACTTTGGACCAAGTGTTGGAGCATCAGCCTGGAACAGGACAGCAAGCCTTTTCCTACTTTAAACGAACAAAATCTTATACGGGAGGAAAGCCTGGATCGATAGAGACCTGCACAACCTATTTTGTTAGTCAAGACACAGTTGATACATGGAATCAAGCAGTATTGGATACATCAACGATCGAAGGCCGTCTTGCTTGTCCCAAGTGTGATTCTAAAATTGGCTCATATCATCTAGCAGGAACTCAATGTAGCTGTGGATCTTGGGTTGCTCCTGCCTTTTGCATACAAAAAGGGAAAGTGGATACCTTTTTAGCAATGAGTATGGGTTGAAATGCAGGCTTCTATCCTTCACTGATGCAATCCATCTTGGTCAAGTTTAATATCTCACTCTAGTCTAACTCGCACACAAGTACAAACAAGAATCCATGAATCGTATTTTATTCAACATACGAAAATTTTAGAATGGCTGATGGTTTGAATTGAAAATGAACAGTAAAATGATATTGGCATCAAACCAGCTCCTTGACTAAACTATGCCCATAGTAAACGAAACGGATCAAAGTAGCTACACAGAAGAAATCCATAAGGAAATAGCAACTCTGCAGGCAAAAGTATCCGAGTGTCATCGACAGTTGGACAACTTTATTGTTTCCTGGTAAAAAACTCGTCAAGGTTGCGCTGGCGCTTGTCATTCGCAGCAGCCAGATCGACACGCTGCGCGATGGTTGGCTGAATGTTCACTGGCAGTACCTGATGTCCCTGTTCATGAGTATAGATGGGCATCGTTGGCTTCTTGGTAATCTGGTACCCACCGGCAATAACTAGTATAAAAAGATGACAAATTTGTTAGAGATTGGGATGGTTTAATACATGCAATATAGGATTGCAGATTTAACTCTAACCAAATGCTTGTGTACACATATCGAATCCATACCTTTGCGAACTCGCATTCCCATACTAAAGACATGTAAATTGGTGTAATAACATGAGACATCAAGCGGCATATTGTTAGCAACAATGCAAAATACGAGAAAAGCCTAGAGAGCATCCATGCATAGTTGATAGAAAAGCCAATACATATGATGCATCATTATAAATGAAAGCAGAGTGGCAAGTCTATCTTTCATGCTTCCCTCCTTGCTTGATAGGCAAGATGAAGCAGCTAAACAAGCTCAAAAAACAACTAGCGCTTGAACGGCGCAAGGCCAGGGAAATAATACTTGGTTCACACTGGTATTGCTGCTCAAAGTACTCTCCTAGATCATCTTTCCAAACATGAACTATACAAAGCAAAAATGTCTACAGCAGGCGATACACCAGTGCGGCAACCTGCCGTAAGACAAGTTGCCGTATAAGCCAACGAGGTGTGCACCAACCACTGCCTAGAGTGTACAATCATACGATATCCCGAGATATTTACTTACGTTCTTAACTGAGTGTTGACCTCATCAGCAACCAAAGACTCGGACGAATGCAAGTTGATGGGCATCATGTCCTGCATAGGCTCAGCATCCAATCGGACATGTTTTTCAATATTGGTCCAATAATCCATTGCGTGTTTTTTAGTAATGGTGAAAGAATTTTCTACAAATAGTTGGGTCTCTGAAACCACTCAAGAGAGCAGCAGTACTAGTGTTGTATTGCAATACTTTGTTTTTATTGTTGATTGCAGGTGCAGAATGGTAAGCTTTAACACACATTCCATGAGTCTGGATGAGAAGCCATGACAGATTTACCCAAGACTGATTTCCCCAAATCACAAGTTTGAAATTTTCGCAGTTAGTAACAAAGGGCATGAGAATGGAAAGATGTATGAAAAATACCAGCAGCCATCATCATCAGTGTTGTATTTGGGACGGTACTTGCATATAATTCATTCAATCACACTTTTATGTATAATCGGGTTTGGTAGTGTTTTTTTTGGTAAATATCAGTAGATTGTCTGCTGATCTCTTGATTAAATATAAAACTTGCTCTGTTTCGTGCAACAACAGCTACTTGCTGAGCTTGGTATTGATTTTGCTCTGACACAAGGGCTTTGACGCTCCACCTATAGAGTTTATATAAACTCATTCTGTATCCTAAAAACTCGGATATGTTTGCGATCTAGTCAAAGAAAATAAGATTGCATGTCTCGGTAATGCAGATGTTGTTCCCATGTCAATCACTTAACATCGTAATGTTTGGTTTGTACAAAGAAGATTGAGCAAGTGTCAAGGATGTAAATGTGTCGGATAGAGATGTAAACATTTGTTTTTCATACAAAAATGATCACAAAGACGAGTAAACTTTGCGAGTTACATTCAATCCGACATCACATCATAGCTACTGCTGCACTAATAGTTTCAAAAATAAGCTTTAGAATCATCAAATTCAACTCCAAATATCATGCAGAGACTTGCTGTGTTATTCAAAGATACTGCATCACAAAACACTGCTATTCAATCCAGCAACCTAACCATCGATCCATACCAGATTGCCTTTTCTAACCATGGATTTCAGTGTTTTTTTGTACCAGTGCTACAGTCATCGTTTTGTAATACTTGCAGCTTGGCCAGTGTACTCAAGAATCCAGCATCTACAATGGGGTTAATTTTCACTAGCAAAAATGCTGCATTGGCTGTTTGTCACTACTTACAAACTGCCTCGATATCACTCGGTAAAAGTTGACATCATAGACATGAGTAAGATGGATTGATTCAATTTCCTTTAATGACATGTGTTTACGTTTAATCTGTATTTTATTAAACTGATTATATAGACCCTGAGTGGTTTAAAATGCCAGTCTATTCAGTAGGAGCATCAACAAGCATTCCTTTGCGATCCATTGGGTTTCATCCAATAGGCGAATCTACTGGAAATGCAGCAGAGCTGGCCAAACTTATAGTATCGGATTTAGTAACAATGCACGGATCTCTAGAAAATGTCCAGAAAGCTTGCACTCGACCTTGGACATTTTTTGTTGGAGATAAAACCAGAGACGTATTGTCTGTACAACTACAAAGTGCTCTAATCCCGCTTCAGTGCATCAAGGTGTATGAGATGAAAGGTCGCGAAGATGTCCTTGAGCATTTGGAGTATCACGTCTCGGACTTGTTTTCAAATATTGCATCCGTCAAGAGACCAGATTTTGACCTTCGAGAGATCTGGCTAGTATTTTTCAGTCCATCTGGGATCGATGTTGTATTGCAACACGGACTGATTGCAATGCATCGTATACCACATGTTCATATTGCTTGTATAGGTAAAACTACTGCTGATCATGCGTGTTCTGTTGGACTTTGTGTATCTGCCGTTGCCACACGGCCAACCCCTGACATGCTGATGGATGCGATTGTAAACTTCTACAAGGCACTGTAAATGACTATAATAAAGCTTTACTTTGAGTCAAGGGTTTAAATTGATCAGATATTTCAAGCTGTGACCATTTTTTAATTCACCAATTAGATAAGTATATCATGCGAAATGGCTGTTTCTTATGTCTAGCACCGACCCGAAATCAACTCGGATCCATTTTTGATTATTTGGTCCAAAATTTCCAAAATTTCTTTATAATGATGCTCCAGTGAAACTTGGACTTGCTACTCAGCAATTGTCAATTAGCATTATTGGTTTTTGTCGACACTAGATTATCGTGATGGATAATGAGGATCAGGCTAATGAAACATGTTCGTATAACTACGATATGTGCACAGATTCACCACCTGTAGTCCATAATCCTACAACATTCCTTGAAACCTTTATGGAAGAGACGACCATGCTGGAAGGATATGTAGCAAAAGCTAGTTCGCTTGTTTATGATGGACACATGTCTTATAATGGGATGAGTGAGCCCTTATTAGTATCAGCATCGTCTTCAGTATTTCAATATACAACTATATCTACAGAAGAAGCTTCCCAAACAGCTTGTGCAATTCCAGCATCAGACTTTACCCAGGCAACTCAATTGAAAACTACTACTGATACTCTTACCATTCGACAACCAGAACACCTGGAGCCTGAAAAAACTTTGGACTCGTTTGTGCATGCTCAGGATCTAGCAGCACCATTATTAGAATCCAAACCAGTAGCAGCCGTGGTTTCAACACATGCTGATCCAGTAGATTTCATTGTAGATAATAGTCTTTCTTGCAATGGATCAGTATTAAAAGATATCCCAACAAAAAACTTCCCAAAGCCTGCAGCAAAAAAGAAAAATATCTACAGATCAAAGCATAAATATCCCCCAAACCAGCTTGATTCAACTCCAGATCTGATAAACTCTGCGACAAATTCATTTAAACAGTCTGGTCCAGCTTATAAGATATTAACAGTCAAAAAAAGACTAGGTAGGACGACTGCTAAAAAAGGTTTAAAAGCAATCCAGGCGACTGATTCAAAATTATCCGACTCAGAATCAATCACTTCTGACCAAAAACAGCCAAATAAACCAGATTCTGCTTCTATTGCAACAGCTACAAAAACAGTAGCGTCAAAACGGTCTCAGGGGAAACTGCTCCAGGTATGTTCATGATTTTTGACAAGTACCTTGATGGATATCATTTCAACTGCTTATTGTTTTGTTTGAACTATAATACAGCAACCAAAAGTATGGATGCTGGGCGATATTAGCACGTGTAAGAAGCTTAAATTGTATATCATTGAATATATTTACATTCGACTCATTTTTATATGCAATTTTACTATCCAGTTGTGCAGAATCTAAATTCCGTAATATCATGTCAAGTATTTATTCGAAATTTACATCACCTACTCCATGGGTCCACGCCGGTGTGTATAGCCGTTTCAGTTTTGAATTTTAACTAGTTTTTTATCAGTTTATTGCTTGCTGCAAGTTGATCTAATGCAGTGTATTGTAATACCAAGGTTGTCACAACGTATTATCAAGAGATTCTGGAATATAGTGGATTTGATGTATCCGATAATGTAAGTTACCTAGTACTGATATGGCAGTTTATGCACTCTACTAATTTATTCTATGCATGGAATGCATGTGTGACATGACTCCCTTGGATTTCCATGTATTTATAAATGATGCTAGAATATTGTCAATTCCATGGAAGAGCGTTTGGATGAGTGGACACTAGAAGGCTTATATATTCTTTCCGATATGTTGACAGTGAATATTCGATGCAAGAAACCTATTTTAGTTGAGCTTATGCTTCATATCCTATCTAATCCAATCATAGTACATGTGAGTAGTATTGTTGCCAAATTGGACATATACTCTTGACTAGTTAGATCACCCAGTGCTTATTTATTTTGTATTTGATAGAATCGTGTTTTGTTATGGGCTATTATGTTTCGAGTATTACCCAAACCTGCACAGAAAGTAGTGGCCAGACCAATTGGCAGGGAAAAGCCCATGATTGTATGTATTTTTTAAATCAATGCAAGTGGCAGAGATTTTTAACCCGTAATCTTAAATGACATTAACTTGATGACTGTCATAAACTCGATATGTGATATTTACAGAAACCCCGACAAAAAAAATCAAAGCAAGGCCATTCAAGTGACGAAGAGGAATATTTGCCTGAATCATGCAAGCAGCTGCTCAGATTTAAAAGGAAACGCACAAAAGAACAGCTTGATCGAATTGACAACATGCCAAGATCAAAATCATATAGAAAGATTTTGGTCAAGAGTCGGCCAATTCAGAGTCCTGATCAGGATAAGGCACCAGAAACTTTGGATACAGTTATTTTGAGCAAGGAGGTAAATAGACTGCCTTTTACCAAGATTGAAAGCAAGAACTGACATTGACTTGTGTACGAATCCAATGATGGTTGAAATCAAGGAAAATTGCATTGTATCTGAGCCCATTATGGCCGATAAGCAATTGGATGAGGGAATTGAATGTTCTGTATTTACCGATATTCATTCTGCTGAACAGTCACAGTCGTGTCTCACTGATCCCCAAGAGTCAGATAGCATGCCAGCACCTATCAAAGTGGGTTTTGAAAAAACCACTTTTGCAACTTGAACGTGTTTTAAGCTTTTATTGAAATGGCTGTACACAATACATCTTTCAAATTGTGCCAAATCAACATGTCTAGTCTTATCAACGATACATATAGACGAATTGGAAAAAACAATACATGCCATGTCTTTCAAGTGTTCTAAAAGTACATTTAATCTTGCAAGAATTATACAATTCAAAATAAATGATTTATTTCAGCAAAATAAAATACCGATTTTAAAATGGCTCATCTGATACTTTGATATGAACAGTGTCTAGTAAACATTTTCAAGAGTCAGAATGTGTGAATCTGAACCCACACAAACACTATATGGTTGTATAGGATGAAGCAAATACAATCTAGTAAAGCAAACAGCAGTGTTGGTCTAGGCCAAAATTTAAATCTGTATCAAATGTGAATTTGTTTCTGCTGCTTGGATAGCATGATCATTGTTGACCAAGTCTTTACATAAATGAATATAGTCACTCAAGAGAGTAGGGATATCAGGTACTTGGTCAGGGATGGCTTCGAGAGCAGTGAGAGTGAAACCTTCAGATCGGTGTTCGACCAAAAATCTTACGATATCAATATAACCGCCACGAGCAGCATTGTCAATTGCATCAGTAGTACAGCCTTCTGTACGAAACTCATGCAACCAATGTACCGCACTCAATTGGCCAGTGCTAGCAGCATGATCCATGGTGCGAGTGGTGCATCCCTCCAAGCGATTTGACTGTAGCCATTCCAAAGCTTCAATGGAACCCGATGCAGCAGCAAACTCCATAGCGTGAGTTGTGCAACCTTCAGATCGATTATCGTGAAGCCATTGCAGCATAGAAACGTGGTTTGCACCAGCAGCAGCATCCATTGCGGCGGGAGTGCATCCTTCGAAGCGATTTTCATGCAAAAATTGAACCAGATCGAGCCGCCCCAAAGCAGCAGCAGCATCCATAGCATGAGTTGTGCATGCAATATCGGCTCTGTGTTTGTGTAAAAATTTGACAATATCAATGTGACCATTAGCGGCAGCACCATCCATTGCTAGTGTGGTAAACGTAACATTGGGGAAGTTTGAGTGAAGAAAGATGACAATATCCAAGAATCCATTGGATGCAGCAGCATCTGTAGCAGCAGAAGTGCATGTAGAGCCTGGGTAATTAAGGAATAAAAACTGAATAATATCCAAGTGTCCGACCTGAGCAGCAATGTCTATGGCTTGAGTGATAATTGCCATGCTTATAGTGGTTGATGACTGAGAGTGCAGCCAACGGACAACAGATAGCTGTCCGTGTCGGGCAGCATTAGTCATTGCCAGCGAGTAGTCTACCGAGTACTTTTCACTAATCCATTGGGTGACATCAAGAGATCCGTAACAGGAAGCATGAGCCAGTATGAGTGATGGGTCTGCAATTGTGGAGTCGATGCTGTATAGAAACGCAAGAGTGTCTGTGTGATTGGACGCAGCAGCAGCCTTGAAGTGATCAATGGACAGTAGAGTTGATGGTTGCGATGGACTGCAGTCATGGTTGGCGATTGCAGTAGTGAACAGGTGCTCAAGTAGCTTCAAGCGGCCATTGGAAGCAGCACTCAGAGAAGTCGTGTACAGAGGAGAGTCGTGGCCGGTGGTGGATGTATCGGACAGATCCAGCAAATCCAACCATAGAAGCCTCATGGGCACATCCAACAGCAATGAATGGAGAGCTGTTGGGAATATCTTTAGTAAGCAACAGTAAGTCTGTCTGCTCTTGACTAACAGCAGGTCTGCCTGCAGTGACTCCATAGACCACCGAGTGTCTGGCAGTAGATCATAATCACCCACCCACTCAAGTGAGAATGCATCCTGCCATACCGATCGGGCAATGGCATTTGCCTGTAATGGGTTCTCTTCGCATGATGGCAGTCTTCCATTCAGGAATAGAGTCAATGGTCCTGCAAACAGCAGTATTCTGTCTCGAACAATGAGTGGGAGAGCATCCCAATGAGATTCAATAGGATTGCTAGTAGCAACATGAACAGACTGTCTAGCTTTTCGATGAGCAGCAATGGCAGCAATGGCTATCAAGGATAGAATCATGATCGTCAATACTGTCAGATAAAGTATTCATCCACAACCAAGTTCCCTATTCCGGTCCCTTACGGCATAACGTTGCATTCCATGTGAATTGCTTATTCCACCCAGCGACCCTTGACCCTGCTTCTACTTTGAACTACAGACGGTCGATCCTACACTAGAGTTTGCAGTGAATACTTGTAGGTGATATACAACTGCAGACTTTAAAGACACTGACGATCTCATTCCTATCCATTCTGACTGCAGCCAGTCAGACCCGCATTTCAAAAGAAAGAAAGCAGCTTTGCTTGATCCAAATTTGACAAGCTTCCTGTTCTTGCCTTCAACTGTCAACGGGTTACCATTGGGTTAGATATTTGGGCCCTACTGTCTTGCTGTTTAGTTTCTTACCTTCCCACATAGTGCACGATCTACTGCATCACCGACTGTCTATCTAGACCAATTGTTGTCGTCAATGCTGGGTTCTCTTGGAGTCACTCTTGCTAGCACTGCAAGCCTTGCTTCTCCTACTAGTAGTCAAAAGACTATGGACTCTCTTTTACACAGTCTTTCTATAGCCACCACCATGAATGGCTCTTCAGATGCTCATTCCATGTCTTTTGAACTCGACGATTTTGCTCATATCAAGCGATCCATTACTGCTGAAATGACCGACATCCGCAGTAATTTTAGAGCACTCCAAACATTCTGTAATAGATTAGCCGCAGTTCTAACTGCTCTGCATCAGCACCGCTCCCACTCGGTTGCTACAAACAGAACCTTGCAATGCTTGCCAGCCTTTCTTGCGAGTGTCCAACTCTTCTTCTCATCTCATGCTACCAAGAACACTCTACGCCAATTCCTGAATGCCCGTGTTGTGGCGGAACAGCTCGAGATCTTTGATCAGGTGCTGCTAACTCTCTCCAAAGTAAGTCTGATGTTGCCATTGTCTAATGTCTGCATGCCATCAGTGTGTTGAATCTTGGATTCACTGTGTTATACTGCTTTTCATCAAAAGCTTATCTTTTGTACCCAATTTATATCCTTTAACCTGCTTTCTGAAACTAAAGTTGATTTATCGGCAAACCATACCGTCCTTGACTAATCATTGCTAAAATTAATTTGTGCTTTTCCAACAGTCTATGGATCTATCACTACATCTTGAACCACACATTGTTTCTATGGCGTCTCGCACTGATTTGGAGGAGCTGGCAAATGTTCTATATTATTTGACTAGCGAGCGTATTGAAGATCAGTATGCAGTCCATTACTTGATTTTGGCTTGATTTCATCTGCTTGGTCTTCACTTTTATTAACTGTATCATTTGATTTCTCACTATTCAATCTTGACTTGGGTTGACATGCATGTCTGTAGACGTATGGAGACTCTGTACGATCTGGCTTTGTTTGATCTAGATCTACTTCCACTTGATGTTGCAGGTGCTCTGCGTGTAGAATTCTGCACATTGGCTGATCGTATTAAACAATCTACAGGTCGTGGCTTATCAGAGCATCACTCATGGTCTATTAGTAGTAACGATATTCAAAAAATAGTGTTTTCCGCCACGGATTCTCCTACCACTAAAGAACAGCTGTCATCCACGTATAGAGCTGTGTGGAATGGTCATGAAGTCCAAGTAACTACCATTTTGCCCGTCAAGAGCCGCGAAGCTGCTGCACAATTAGAGTGCGAGGCAGATCAATGGCAATCTCTAAACCATCCAAACATTTTAAAATTATTTGGCTTGTGTCTAAACTCTGATATCCCTCAATTAGTAACACCTGTCACATATGCAAATTTGGCATCCCTTCTTGAAAGAAGCCCAATGATGGATGTGGTCACTCGTAGTGAGTATATTGTTGGAATAGCAAACGGAGTAAAATACTTGCATTCATTGCCACAGCCCATTGTCCATGGCGATCTTAGAGCCGCGAACATCTTTATAGGTACCTTTTATTTTTGCCATGTCGTCAAAATAGTGATTGTTTCTGATCCGTTTCGACTGCCTCATTTCGCGTGTTGATGTGTTTGTAATGCTTACAAAATAGGCCTTCATGACGAAGTTTTGGTCTCTAATTTTGGACTTGCGTCACCCAAGAGACTTACTCCACTGCCGCCAGATTCAATCCGATGGATGGCACCTGAGCAGTATGTTCGCAACTATAGTCCTGTTCCTTCTCTGGATGTATTTTCCTTTGCGATGACCTGTTATGAAGTACAGACAGGGTTGGTTCCTTTTTACGAGCAAATTCACGAGCATATAGTTCAAGGCTGGATGAACAATGGTGAAAGGCCTTATCGCCCTGTAAATGTGCCCGATGCCATTTGGAACGTCATGCAGCGTTGTTGGACTCAAGACCCATTAATGCGTCCTACTTTCAAGTGGATCTGTCAGAATCTGGATTGGATAGCAGCAGGTTATCTGAATAGTGGCGCTTTGGGCACTTTAAGCACTTTTGCTAGATTGGTGCCTGCATCGTCTCCTTCTTTTAATCGAATTAGTTTATCTAGTGTTAGTGCTCCTTTTTCAAATAGATACTCGACATCCCGTTCTGGATTTCAGCAACCGGCTCAGTCATCATCTCTTCTTGGTCATTCAGGAACAGCAGGTCTAAGAGGTAGATTCCATTCTCTCACTGATATCTCCAAGCTTTCGATGCACGACGAAGCTATCGAGAGCGTTCGTCGTTATAAATCGCACTCGGAGAATGTATCCTTTTTGTCGTCCAATTTCGAGGACAATGTTTTTTCTACCTATCCAGCATCTTCGTCGTCTTTTCTACACGATGCTATCCAGAATAACCTTGTATGCCATTCCCCTCCTTTGATTCATTCGTCTAATGATACGGATACCACTATAAAAGGTACGATGAGATTTTTGGTTTGTTTTCAGGAAATTTGGTTGCATTGAATGTTTTTGGTTTAAACAAGTTTTAAATCTGTATTTTATTTTCAAGCTGAGTCGCCTATTTTTGTCTTAGATATCAACACTGACCAGGAAGAAATAAGAGCTGTTGACAAGTATAAAGAAGAAGGCGGGTTGGCTTTAAAAACACCCTTAAACTATGCCACTGTAGTCAAGGTTCCTGCCCATACATCGTCCTCTGTTGAATGCACTACTACAGCACCTTTATCTGGAAAATCAGTCTCGACTGCAGAGACTGCTTCATCAAGTGTAGCACCTAAAGGAACGACGGCATCGGTTCAGTCGGCTTTGTCTGGTACCGGTTCATTGACAGCCCTTTCAGCTATAAATACTCGCGAGTTTCAGATCCTCAATCAAGCGTTTCCTTTTTGGATCCAAAAGCATGGTGTCACTGCCTCTAGACTTGCTAATCGAGTTTGTGACGCTGTTGATGTGTGGGATCCAACATGCAAAAACTTTTCGATCAAACCGTCATTGGAATGGCATGAGAATGGGCATTTAAGTGTCATGTGAGTATATATCCAAGCTGTGAAATAGACGTGTTCACTGTACTCTTGATAGACTCGATTATGATAGGAGAGGTTGAGTTTTATCAGAAAGTAACTAAGCTAATGAATGATTTTCAGTCGATTTCCATTGAGTAACATCAGTCGCCCTCTCCATGCAAATCTGCTGCGTTTGACTGATCTTACTGAACTGTGAGTCTATACTTTGTAGCTGCTATTTAAAGCCTAATGGCTACTTTCTACTGATCTTACTCGAGGCTGACCAAAACTTTTATTGATGCATTGTAATTTTGCCAAATGTTGCGTTTCCATTAGAGCATTACATCGTAGTGGCTTGAATGGGCAGATTCCAAAAGAAATTGGTAAACTGGTTAATTTAACTCGCCTGTAAGTGTTTCTTGGCCATGTAGGTTTCACTTGTGAGTGCCGAATTAATCTTTTTATTTTAATCAGCGATTTCGGTGTCAACTATTTTGATGGTCCGATTCCAAAGGAAATAGGAAAACTAGTCAAGCTTGAACAGCTGTATGTGTCTTGGAGTTGCTATCCCTTTATGTTTTTACCAATTTTAGTACAATTGGCAAATTGACTTGTCTGCACATGGTTTTTAATATGTAGATCATTGCATAAGAATTCCTTTACTGGGCCAATTCCTAAAGAATTTGGGAATTTGGTTGAGATGAAGTGGCTGTAAGTAGATGAGTTGCGATGACCATACAGGTGGTGTATAAGTGCTTGCCGGCTCAATTTATCTTTTTATCTAGTCGTTTGGATCACAACAGGCTTTCTGGAAAGCTACCCAAGGAGTTTGGTCAAATGGTTAAACTAATGCAACTCTGCATTGACGGAAATTCCATCAGCAGAGAAATTCCGGCACAGGTATATGAACTTCCAGAACTGCGCGAATTGTAAGTTTTCAAAGGATCAATGCATTTGTGATGAATTAGATCGGCTTTATGAGAAATGGTACAAACAAGCTGATAAACTTTGATCAATTTCCATATATAATCTATAATGCAGCCGATGTGATAGCGACAGTTCTAACCATCGTTGAAACAAGTTTGAACCTTTTTTCAATGTGACCCAACTCGTAACGCATACTTTGAGCCTCGCTGATCTTGTGAAATGATGCCTATTGATATTGAAAGCGCGGATGATTGAGATAGGGTTCAAAGTAATCATGTCATTCACCATTCTATACTGTTTTCAATTTTATCTTAGCAATCATTTTTAAACCTTGTACAATTCAACACTCAATGTATGAGTTCCAATGAATTCAATAGCAAGTGCACCTGAATTAAGGTTTAAATCAAAGTCGTGAATTTAGAATCAAGTGTGGGGAATATTCCGGTACTTTTTATATATGTAATGGACAACTTGGTTACCTGCTATTGCCCAAGTATCTGCTGTTTTGGCCGTACTCGCCTAAAATAGAACACAATAAATATGCCAAGCACATGATAGGCAGCTAGTTTTACAGAGTGATAATTCCGCCAAGTGTATTAAACATTGTGTCCTTTAGACTCGTTAACAAAATATACTGGTATTCGTGCTTATTGTATAAAACAATTAAATGAGTGCATTGCTTATTTTAAAGCAGATTGTAGAATAGTGTTTTATATTACGTGAGTACGGCTGTAATAATTTCCTTTTTGAAAACATTTTTTGTTGGATTGCTAACCCACCTTGTTGACTGTTGGGGATCAGATTCGTCTATTGACCAATCATCTAAACTTATATAAAAGTATTTAGAATTCATTATTGTATCATAAAGATGAGTAAACGAGCATCACCTACTGGCAATCCATTTTCTGTCCTTCGTAAGTTGCGCAAAACCAATAGCCTTGAACCTGCAGCCAAGGAATCTTCTACTGTTTCTATATCGAGTACAACTCCAAATCGGTCTACATTTCAATGCAGTATGCCAATCAATGTAGAATCTACCTCGAGGTGAAGAATAGAGCTTGCATATTATGCGCAAATACTTGATCCAATGTACATATTTTTTTAAAATCAATGTTTTGTATTGACACTTTAATCATTGTATATGCATTAACAAAAAACAATATAATGCATTCAACAGAGATCAAATGCATTCATCAACAGTTTCCATTCCAGCTAATGGTATGCCACTAAAGGATTTGGCGTGTCAAACCGTTTCGTCTTCTAATATGGATCTGACGCTCCTGTTACTTGACAGTAATCAGTCCGTTTCAATCCAAGGATTTGCTTTGATATCTGCTGTTTTAGGAAGCTGTAGAGTTTTTGGATATACTATGCACGGCCCTTTCAAATGGGACACGATCAACACATCAAAGCCAGTTCATCCCATATTTGTCAAAGTGTTTTCCCCAGCATCCTCAAGTAGACTACAGATTGAAAATGTTTCTCTAGAATATTTAAATCTACAGACTACACATTTGACTGACTCGGGACATGCAAGTACAGCTGATAAAGAACTGAATATGCACGTAGAGATAATGCGTCTTGTAAAAACGATTCCAAACAAACAACGTCAATCCATTTCATGCATTGTAGCTATGCAACGTTCTAAAACCAACATTGAAAAAATCGAGCGTTATTTGCCTATATTCCAAAATCTATTTGATGATGGGGTTCCAAAGAAATCCAACGTATGGTTATTTTGACGCCAGTGTTTCAATGTGTCAGTTGATTTTAGTTCTTACTAACCATTTTCACATGAAACTGACTTGCAAACAATGTACAATACTGGATCTGAACAGAACGTCTTTTCGATTCCTGATGAAAGTACATTAAAATCGGTTGATGCACTTATTATTCCAGATACGTGGGCATTGACTGCATCTTCACTGCTGGTGAATTCTTTTACTCATAGTATGTTTCGTGTACTGATTCTGATGGTCTAAACTCAATTCCGTGGCAAATATTGATTAAACATTTGTTTGTTGCATGCTGGAGGGTAGATTCGAACATTTGTGCAGTAGGACCAAAGAACTCTGGTAAATCAACCTTTACTCGTTACTTGATCAATCGCTTTTTGGAAAGGTATGTATTTTTTGATACGTTATATACGGGTATACGGCTATTTGCTACTGACATCTAATACATTCAAATCAGACATCCCGAGGTTGCGTATATGGATTGTGATCCAGGACAGCCAGGATGCACTCCAAATGGCATGGTGTCTTTGCATGTCATTAATTCTCCACTTTTAGGTATACTGTCTTGATCTCAAATAATACACTTTTCTATGATTATTTATTCCTGTAATTTTAGGTCCTGCATTTACTACTCAAAGGGATTCGTATCGATCGTTTTTCATTGGAAGCACAGCACCAAAAGATGATCCAGATTTTTTCAGTGCATGCGTACTGGAGCTTGTCAATGTATGGCAAACAGAACTCATTAAAATGCCATTGATTGTCAACACGAATGGATGGATCAAAGGTACATTTGTTTTGGCAGTGAAAAAACATGTTCAACAGATACACTATTACATGTGATTCATCTAACCCATATATATTGTTATTCTACCATGTAATGTATCAAGGAACGGGATATGATTTGTTGGCACATTTTCTGCGATATCTTTTGCCAACTGATATTGTTCATCTTTCATTAGCATCACAAGCTGATAGCACGACTGAAATTGATTTTAAAAGCATCTTTCCTGTACAACATTCGTTTGATATCTGGAAGATCAAGCCTGCACCAAGTGACGCGTTATCCAAGTGAGTTGTTTGATTAATTCTACTAGCACTACCAGTTTGTGATGTAGACACATGAAGGGATGATATGATGAGCAAGGCAATGATATTTATTTTGGCCTTTACTGTTTTTACCATTAGGATCAAGCTCAATGCATCAGACCAGCGTGTTCTCACAACTATTTCATATTTTATGAGACATGCTACATTGTTCAAGAATCAGAATACACAAATCGAGGTTAAATATAAATGGGATTTAGATACACCATTAACATCTCGCATTCCTTACAGCGTGCCCTGGAACCATGTTCGCATCAAGTTTTTTTCTGAAGATGTAAGTTGATGTAATTTGATACAAAGGTGTTGATATTTGTCGAGTTTATGGAATTGATTTGGCTCAACAAAATGGCACCATTTTTTATGATTTGACTGTCCTGTACATAGATTTCGTTTAGCCAGGCTCTTTATGCGCTAAATGGCACTGTTGTAGGATTGCTGGTGGATCAAACTAAATATCAAACAACTTTGACTGAGCAATGTACATCAAACGAGACTTATCTCCAGGTAATCAATCGATGATGTGTGAGCAGCTTTTATTTATACTATTTAAATGCTAATATTGAACCACACATCTTTATATCCACCTACTATGATGTATACTGTAGATTGTACCAACGCAGTCACTGCTGCATCCTCATAATCACCATTGCATTGGACTCGGTATCATTAGATCCATTGATCCACGGCAAAAACAGTTTTATATTGTGTCACCATTACCACTGCACCACTTGAACAAGGTGAATTTGATTGTGCGAAGTGCGGGATTGGACCTTCCTGTATGTTTGATTACAGATGGATATCAGAATTCACGCAAACATTTACCATACACAACGTATATTCCTGCCGAGGGCGTTGGCGCAGTAGCCATACGCAATCGGCATTTGCAACGACGAGGTCTTGTCAATGCACAGCAAAGATCCGGCTCCTAGACCCATTTCATTTGCAAAAATAAGTGTCAAGACGACCCTGTTTAGGGTTAGACTGATGGTGTTTAGATTCTGGCTATCCATCTGCCTGCTTATAAATAAATAGTCAAGGGCTGCAAAACAAGTTTATTTTTCAAACACTTAAACAAAGAGTATCAGGATATATAAAGATCTCAAGGTTTAATATGGATTCCAAAAATAGAATCACAACATATCATTGAGGATGTCAGATGAAATGGGAAACTGTTTGCGCCATTTTAGATGAGATGAGGTAACATATTCATGCACATTCAAAGATTTAGATTCTTGATTGAGAGGGTCTTGCACAGCAACAAAACGACCCTTGTTCATAAACGTGGCATTTTCAATCCAATTAGTAGTAAAGGGGTCAACAGAAGGTAAAGTAATCAATGGTAAACCATCCACAACAGCCAAGTACTTCTTGACAGAATTACAGTTCGAGTCCAAGGTCGAAGAAAGACATGGCAAAGACGTTGTCTGAAAGTGCTGGGGCAAAGACTTTACCGTCGCAAGGAGCGAGGGCAGAAGCGATCGAGCCAGATACAGATACACTTGCCAAGTCAAACGAGCTTGAATGGGACTGGAAAAAATCGTCAAGACAAGAGGCAGTCCATTGATCGGCACCCACATCTGGGGATCTGCGAATACTTCTGATTCGCAGGTGCCGAAAATAGACTGACTATGTACAGAATTATTGTTCAATGGTATAGAGTTGATTAAATTTAATGAAAGTTGATCACTAACAGTAGTGGGATGTGATATTGATGGAGTCATGAATGGAATGCTAGAATCGGTTGATAAGGATGAAGAGACAGCAACAGATTCTGGAGACAAGGCAGGAGAAGCTAGTGAAGTGGAAGGAATATGAGAATGGATAGTAGATGCAGTAGAAATATGAGGATTATTGACAGACTTGTTGGAGTCGGAGTGATGCACAGTCGTGGATACCAGCAAGGACAGCTGTTGTGACAGGTGATCTAGTCTCACAATGAGGTTTTGATTAGATCGTTCAATGGTTTCTAGACGGGCGGACAACTGAACGTTTGCCAGTTTTAGTCTTTGGTTTTCTTCCTGTAAGTTTTCATTTTGCAACTTTTTACGTTCTCTCGACTCCTGAGCAGCCTGTCTATTGCGAATAATGCGTTCTCGAGCACGATCTTCTCTGTCTTCCAAATTGATTGTAGCCTTGCGTTTGGTACGGATCGGTTTGGGATCGGTTTGTATAGCAGTAGATGACGGTAGAGCATCGACCGGACTAGGATTGGACAGACAAGGCAAAGTCGGTAGAGGTTGAGTGTCAAAACCCGTTAATTGGGGTAAAGAACCGACATTGGCAGTAAACAACGACTCCCACTCTATAGGATTAGCAGGCGAGTATGTGGTAGGAGCTTCTGATGAGGAGTCGAATAGGTTGGATAAATAGAATTCAGTAGATAGAGGCTGGAACAGCATGCGCTGTTGGCTAGATGAGCGTTGGTCAGCCATTAATGCAAGAATGGCCAGAAATTCGAGTCTAATATTTCTCATTTTATACTTTGCAGACTTAATTCCAGCCAATCAGATAACATGACACGTGAACCAATCAACGGTCGACACATTTCATTACTGCACTGCCACGTTGTCTACAGTCATTGTAAAAACATCTGATTCGGGCCATGCTGCAAGGATGATAAAATAAGTTTATTGATACATCTCAAATAAAACTGTGTCCACGGTAAGCCTTGTGTTGGACGATAAATCCAATAATAGATAAAACAATGAATGTAATCAACAATCCGTACACTGGTCCCGAGGGGCGCACTACCGATATATCAAATTTGGTTGGTCCACTCATGAACAGGCGCAGAGTCTCGATAAATCCAGTCCGTGCAAACTCGTCAATACCAAACACTACCAAATACGAACCAAGCACAGCCGTCGAAGCCATGATTGCAATTCGCTCGAAAAAGTGGATTATAATTGCACCAACCAATGCAAACGCTGCAATGAAAATGGCACGACCAGTAGAAGAAGAGATAGTGCCGTACGTGTGCCATCCAAGAATAAACAGAGCGAGTGAGGCTCCTGCAAGGGCACCAAGACAAGTAATACCCAGTTTATACAGACACACTGAAAGAGCTCCTCCTGCTAAACCGATTAGCAAACTGCCAACCAATAGCACAGTCTCCCTGTGTGGATAGCCATCGATCGGCTCTGCACGAGTCAGGATAATGTATCCAATCATGGACATAAGAACAAAACCAGCTAAAAACAGAGTAGGACGGAAGAAACGATAACCAGCAAACACCAAGAACAGACCACCAATAATAGTTATGATACCAACAACAATTGCATGAGGACCAATGGCAGCAATTCCATCGTTAATGGCTAGACAGACATCATATCAAGGTTGATTAGCAACGCTTTACAAACATTCATTGTTTCAAGTATTCAAAGTCTAGCAGTCTATTGCAAGTCAAATTAATTGACTAGGATGGTTGAACCCAGCAACTCGACAATGATTCATCATGGCATATACAAGGAATGCATTACAAAACATGGCATCCTTCCTAATTCACAAGTCAAAGGTGACCTTGTTGACTAAAGACTGCAAGCTAAAAATAAAGGGCTTGATAGAACCAGCAAGTACTCACTGTCTTGGGCCTGACTAAGCGTGCTGTTGCTTGCACTTACAAACGGCAAGAAGAGTAAAAAGAGTTGCAATACAATATCGATCATTATTCAAATCAAAAGTAGACAAGTACGAATTAAACAGAATGAACAAGGTAAAATGGTAGAAAACCGATTGCTTTATACTTTGGAGATCAATTAGAAACAATAAAAGCGCAAGGGTTGGCTGGTTTCGGGCTGACAAAGTCAACCGGCATCCACGTGATTAATAACACTGCCACTAGTCTTCAAGCCTCAAATGATTTTCATAAGCACGGCTTTAATCCATTTCGGCCATGAGCAAACAATCATCTGAAACCCATCTGGTTGCGGTCGCATTTAGTTTGAAAGCCTATTCATGCATAAGCATACGCATTCACTTGCTCGTTGAAGTAGTGCTAGATATGCCACTCGATCATGACTCTCGCTAAACATGTTCATGTGTGCATCAATCACATCCGATGATGCAGACATGGAGTGTTTTGAAAACAATGGAACCAAGTCGGTTGACTGAGTCACCTGTGTAAAGGTCTGCTCCTGCTGCATTTGCTTGGACTTTAATGACAAAAATATACCATGGAAATATAACCATTTGAACGACTTTAAATCCTCAAACCGCTGTTGTTGATCCTCAACTTTCCATAGTGGACCTAGAAACTGCATGTATCCATTGGTCTTTGCATATTGGTCACTGACTGTTCGATTCACCGTCTCTTTAACTAATGAATTGGAAGAATATATCGAATACGCCGTTCCCGCTGCAACCGCTGCTCCCAATGCCGCTCCCCAATAGGACCCAGATGAGGCTGCTGCTGGCACGTTCGATGCCGTTTTCGTTGCTCCTTTAGATACAGTTGCTGATGTAGTAGCATTGGCTGCACTATTTCCATTCGTTACCCTATTAAATATCCCAAGCATATCTGTTGTATTAGAAATTACATCTTGCATTCGTCCACTGCCTGCACTTGTAATGGTATTTGAATGCAGTCCAAAAAACGGTGAATCAAAAGATATAATCCCCCTGATCCGCACAGGATGCTGAGCTGGGTTGCCTCCAGCCATGCGATGAATTTCTCTTGTAGCATCCAAAGACAAAGGTCCTCCCATCGAATGTGCAAGCAGTACTACTTGTATTTCTTGGCTGGAATTCGATGGCGCTTCAGCTATCAGGAATTTCACTAGCTTCCCTACAACTGCTGCATTATCACCGTGTGTGTCATAGACAAAGTGTTTGTATTTGAATGTATACGGCAACGGCTGTGCATTGGCTGACTGATGTGAAACAGCTGTTAAGAGGTCGTTGGGAAATGAATGGAACGAATTGTCACTGCCCATAAATCCATGGACATAAACACAGAGAACGACTGGCTGCTGTGTTGTAGATTCAGTCGAAGTCGACAGCATGGATTTCCATTGCTGTTGAGTAGTGGAAGTCACTGTACTGCCGAGTGTGGACCAAAAAGACATGCTACGACTAGGACTGATGAAATGTTTATGGGAAACTTTACTTTCTGATCGTGTCGATAATCAGATTGTCACCGCAGTACACAACATGAGCAATAAATGATTCTGCCATTCAGGTCAGCAATCTACCAATATTTACAAAGAAACATCACCAAGGGTGATGGTTGCTGACAACTTTTCATTTCTGTTCATTCTTGTTCTCCTTATCACCAATCATGAGCAATCCTACTCGTTTTGAAATAAATATATGGCACAACTTCATCAAACTGACTGCATGGCATCTCTCTTGCTGCTTCTGCATATGGGGCAAATCAGCCCGGGTTTATACGACGTTGGTGCATAGGCCAAGGGTATCAATGGAGCAGGAATACGATGTCCATTACTACGCACATAAATCGACTGAATAGCACGATCTGTGTGTGCCATGGTAGATTTAGTTCGTGCTGTCATAGATGCTGCTTCATGTGGATGAATAGACCGCTTTTGTTGTAGATTCGTCGTTGATGCATCCATGTCTAAACACGATTCGTGAAATTGGTGATGACAGAAAAAGACAATCAGATCTGGAGTAGAATCTATACCGGTTACACTACTCAAACTGCCCAAATTGGTAGTGTTTCCACCACAGATTGCACACTGTCCATTCTCTTGTATTCGCATTCCCCGACGCTGTTGACGATAAAGGTTCTGAGTACTTTCCCAGGTATCTCCCACAAGTACTTCTTCGCATCCCTCACGAAGTGATTTCTAAGATTAAAAGCACAGTTAGTGGATACTAAGCCTCGACAAAGATTTATATTAGCCATTGCGTTGGCTGAGAATCGCATTGCAAACAAAATACAAGTGGCTTGCCGTGCCAAAAACCTTACAGATACCAATGCTTCATGATATACTCTGACATACCTGAACACTACAATCTGTCATAATTTTAATCAGCGCATTTTTAAGTCCTGGAATGCGCAATCCCTTTGGAATCAGTCGAATAACACGTAGCGGATCAATATGAGCGCTTAAATTTTCCAACAGTCCAACAATAAAGGCTAGAAAATAATGCAGCTAAAATGAGCAACATAAATACCATCTGCCTATTTATCGACTAGCAAGAGTCAAATCGTCAGTAATATATCTCCAACTCACCTGGCTTGTCCATAGAATACTTTAAAAATTCTTCCCATAGTTCTTCATCATTTTGATCCTTGGTAAATTCAATCGCCTAGTGAAAATGCATGATATACAACAATATCAGATATAAATGTATGTAAACTGGACAAAAATGGCCAAACTATTGACTTGCCCGCTCAACGTCTCGTAGTCGCTCAATAATCAGCATCAACGCACGACGACTATCTCCCATTTTACCCAATAAAAGAACCATTTCTGGCACCAGATCCCGTGCTTCACAGACGTCAAATGCCTTTGATACATAGCGTTTCAACAATCATCACAGTAAGAAACAGCAGGTATAAATCAAACCATGTTTCATACTAGGCATAATATATCCACCTTTGGTATGGAGTAAAACTTGCTGTGTCGAAGAAACCACATAAGTCGAGCATAGTCATACTCTGCATACAGTTCAACTTGAAGTGTATGAAAAGTATGGGATTCTTGCGAGTCATTGATAAACAGCGCGTCTAAATAAACGTGTAAAAACCGACTATGGCCTTGCAGTTGTTGGACGACTTGGAAAGGCTATCATTACAATACAAGATTGTCAGTAAGTGCCAAGAGAAAAAATACGAGCACTGTTTTGATAAGAAAACTCGGCAGTATATATTGAATTACTAAAGCCTCGAGTCATTCAATGCTCCTTTAAAAATCTAAAAACGGCATGCTTACCAGCACACGATCGGTATGGCCAGCCAGTAACTGTGCACCAACTGCACCCACAGCCGTGCGTACTTTCTGAAGTGCAATAGAAACAGGACTAGTAGATTCTGGAATATACATAGCCTCCAAAAAAGCAGGAATTTGAAACCCCGGAGCATCAATAAAATGCTTATCATACTGAAGAACCAATAGGGCATTCAGCTCGATGGTTTGAAAAAGATTGTGCTTTTGTACAAGATCTAATACACCGGGTTTATGAATGCATAAACCATAGTATAAAACCATGTCCCATTGCCGATTTCGTTCATATCTAAGAAAACATTATACATGTAGGCAATCCATTAAAATCACAGCAGTATAGTCAGGGTCGGCTTAATTAACCAATAAACTGCATTGAAAACTTACAACTCTAACATGATTTTGATTAAAATAACACTTTCCGGACTACGAATAAACGCCGAGTGAACCGCATTTATAATCACGGGAATATTATACAGATCATGCGACCAAAGTTGAATAATTTGTAGCAGTCCGTCTAAATCATTTGCAAGATAATTCAGCAAAATCAGATCATATACCGAGCTAGAGAGCTGCGGCAACTCCAGCGGCACAAAAGGCGTAATAATCTAAGATATTTCAATAGCATAGCTTGATTAAACGATACGCATTGGATAGAATTGATAATGCAAACTCTATTCACATACATGGAGTTGCTTGGCTGCTGCAAATACATGCACCCAATGCTCCCATAGCTGCTGATCGGTTCGAAGCAACTTTTGACATGATTGAGCTGCCTCCAAATAATTACCTAAATGAAATGGCAAAATACGTAGATTTGTGGAACTGGGTTATAAATTCGCATCACAGCTGATTGCAACATTTAAAACAGGAAAGATACAAACAGTAGATCAACATCCTCATCAGGCTTACCATCTGCCATCAATGTAGCCATATATTTTTGACCAATATCAAGAATAGTGTTTACTTTGGACTGGCCAGCATATTCGGAGCCAGCTGCATCAGCTGCGCAAAGTGCTTCTGCATACTGCTGTCGTTCCACAAGCCATTGGATGTGGTCATCTATATCGCGAGGTCGAGCAAGAACAATATCTTTTGGAGAAACTATGTAGTAAGATGCGTCCGTTTCTGTTTCCGATGCAAGATATACTGAAATTGCATACTGTCAGAACCAGCATCATTATCAAAAAGCTTATATTGCACAATCTGCCTACCAAGTAAATAGTCATTTGCTTGAAAATGCTCGTATCCAATCAATGAAAGCACATCGTTTGCCACAGCCTCTCCCTCCAAATCTACAATATGCATCTCTGGTGGTTGTGCCTGTCAAGAAATAGTTGTTTGCGTATGCACAACAGCCTAGTGTCAATACCATCAACTTGAACCAACATGAATGCAATGACAAACCTTTTGATGAGCTATGTCAGGATTCAACACGTCTACATCTCGTAATGGCGATAAATCTGTAATATATCCAAGTAGAACGAGTGCGTCTCCAAGTGGACTGATGCCGCTAACAATAAAATCTGTTCGAAATTGGTAAACTACATCTACATATTTTGGTGACAATCCAGAAGCAACGTCATGCTTTGAACGCTCCTAAACTCAATGCATTGTTTAAGAATTAAACCAAAGTATTGACCGGTATGAAAGCATCCTTGACTCTAAATTATGGTAAAAACAATGTACCTTGATCTCAATCACCTTTACGCTATCAGCCCATCCAACTAGAATGGTAGTATCCGACTTCCAACAAATACTGCACCGGAATAAATCCGCTCTTGGGCTATCTTGTGGACGCTCAATCCGACCAAATCGCTGGGATGTTACGGTATCATAAATATTTACACCCTGCTCTCCATATAAAAAGTCGGATGTTAGGCATACAATAACAATGGTGTTATTTCCCCAATAAACTGCCATCATATCTAATAGGAAGACTAAACTGGAGGCATCGTTTGTTTCAGTACGTACCGTTTCACTAGCCCATAAAATATATTTTCCATGCCAAGTAGCATGGAAAATGGGACCATCACCTGAATGTATTGCAACATTCGTGTTTCCAAACCAGCCCTTTCCTGTCAATACCAGACTTCCAGCCATTCCTCCAGAAACAAATTGACGAGTCTGTTTGCGACTGTAATCTGGCTCAAGAGAGACGGCCTTGACTGGTCTCCAGAAATTATAGGTCTGAATATCAGAAGTGTAGAGTGAGTTGATCACCACATTTCCTGAGAGTTTAAGAAGCGAATTGATGAAAATATTGCAGATTCGATTGGCAGAACAAACACGTTAGAGTCCAACCGTTATTACTGCAACAATACTATGAATAGAAATCGATTCACCATCATCACTTGCAGATGCCACAAACTCTCCGCTGTCATCGATAGAAACTTGATTCACGGTCGCCGTATGACTTTGAAAGCGCTTTACTTGAGTTCCAATCAGATCCATAATATGCACTACACCCCAATGAGTGCCAACTGCCTATCAGAATAAAGTATAGCTTATAACTCAGCATCCGTTGCTTGAAACGAAAAGCAAGACAGTGGAGATAAAGCAGTTGCTTGCTGGAATCTATTCATTGTGGATCCAGATACAAGTCAGTAGAACATACCAAAAACCGATCCGATACTCCCATGCAGCTGACGGCATCCTTCTTGAGCACATCAGAAAGAGTTCCTACTAATCGTTGGTACTTGAGTCTTGGCTCTTCATCGTCATGGCAGTCGTCCTCCATTTCCAAGGATAATCCTTTGTCTGGTTTACTTTTGTCATCCAATACCTTTGTTACATCAGTATCTGGTATGTCCTGTTGATTCAAGTTAGAGGATAATATCTGAGCATCTGTGGATGCAATCTGACTGGAAGTCTTGGCTGGGTCATTTTCCGGTAACGACAGATCTGCTGCAAGGGTTGACATGGGTTTCTGCAGTCTTTAATGGATATTTTACTAATAATAATAGTAAATTATACAAGATTTTACTAATAATAGTAAATTATAATCTTGGAAAATCAACCTTCAACTATAGAAATCATTATTCATTCATGGCAGATTTACACGGCAATGCTGATCAAGACAATGACCCTCTGCACAGAAAACCATCTTTATTGGATGATGATGACTGGGTGGATGCTGCCGATCACATCTCATATTCTCAAGATGAACCACAAACGCTGGTTGCTGCTATCGACTTTTATGGCATTTTAAATGTTGATAGAAAGGTATTCTTGTTATAGAAACTCATAGTATCTGGTTTTCTGTAACAGTCTTGGTCCTTGTTCTCATTAAACTCAAGACCAACTAACAATCTGTTCCGTTTATCTTGATCATCTTATACAACTATTGATGTCATGGCAAATAAATAATCATCAAGGCAACGGATGACGATATCAAGAGCTCATACAAGAGGTTATGCATTACTTTTCATCCAGATAAATACATGGACAGCAAGGAAAAGATGGCTGCACAACGCAAGTTTCAGAGCGTTCAGAGAGCTTATGATGGTTGGTCATTGTCGACTTATGACCCACTACTTTACACTGTTTTGAACAGATCAAGCATTGAATACTACATTTGCTAAATGTCCAAATAGCTGATCTCGTCATATCTATGTCATGTTTGCTTCAGTTCTTAGCGATCCCAACAAACGCCATATATACAATCTTTACGGAGAAGTTGCTGTTGACCAGTCTTGGGAGCTCGGACCTAAACTAAAAACTCCAGAGGAGATTGAGCAGGAATTTGTGCGACAGGCTCGTATAAAACAGACTTTGGAAACTATGCGTTTGGCGCAGTCTCGCGGCGAGATTGTCTTGACATTGGATGCAACTTCGTATTTTCAATCTCTCCAGTTAGATAAGCAACGTTTTCGTGGTTCTCATTTGGGATTGTCTGTTGCGGAAACTCGTTCTTTTCGTGACTTGTTAGTACTTCCCGAAGTTCAACAGGCCACCGTATCACACGAATGGGAGGTGGGTTTGTGATTGTTTTTTGGTTGTTGGCTGTCAGATGCAGTAATTGATTCTCAACTGGCTTTGATTGTGATGGCTTTAGACACAACTTTCATCACAGACAGACTTGGTTTTAAGTGGAAAGGCTCATGCTCATAATGGCGTAGGCAATGGAAGCATTCGTGCTGTTGTTCGGCACGCTATATCTTCACAACTTCAAGGAGAGGTATAATTTGATTTTTGCAAGCCGTTTTTGATTGCTCTATCTTGACATGCTATACACTGTCACTGATCTGTGTCAAACTATTGATAGGTATCTGTAAATCTCTCACAACACTCTTCTGTAGAATTAAAAGCTGTTAGGACCTTTTTTTCCAACGTGTATGTAAAATTTAAAAACTAATATCCTTCACGCAGTCAATTAACTTTACTCACATGCAAATCTAATTCATTCAAACAGCTCTGTTACAGCTCACGGTGTATTTAATTCTGTCTACTCCCCACCTAATTTGACTATTGATATTGGAAGAAAAATTGCACCAAACTACACTGGATTCATCACCTATCGGCCAGGTCTCTTTCGCCTTGGATCATGGGGACTTTCTGATCCTCAGCTTCTTGGCCATAGCTCGTCTACTATTGGTATTGTTCACAATGATCAAAGGAAAAGCTGGACTTGCTTGGTTCATGCAGGTATCATGGAGTCAAATGTATTGCTTTCCTATACACTTCCTATTGTTGGACATATTCGTGCACGTATGGATTTTTCTGCCTCAAGTTCTGGAGATATGGCTATTGACATTAGTGGTGCGCGCCGTATTGATCGCAACACACGAGTCAGTATGGGAGTCAACTGCAGCATTCAGCGTGGAGTTTTCTTGAAATTTCGGTTAGTATTTTCTATACAAGATTGTTTAAACCCCAATGCAATCTGCTAAACACATTCAATTTTTGCAATTAGAGTGGTGAGACTGGGCCAGAAATTCAGCATTCCTATTTATTTGAGTCCGAGTCTAAACCTTAAACTTGCGTTTTTCGCCTTTTCAGTTCCTTTGCTCTCTGGGCTTGCCTTTGATCGCTTAGTACTTAATTCATGGCGCAAGCAGCGTAGATCTGCGTATGTGTTTGTTTTCAATTGTTAGCCACTTATTGTATGATTCCCTTATTGTATATTGACATCAAAACACTTGTATAATATGCTATTCTAGTGCGATCCAACTGATTTGCCAGCAAAATGAAAGTATTCTCAGAGAAAGACATCTAGATGCTCTTCAAGCTACAGAGCTTATGCGTGAGTCGGTAGCTCGTCGTGTCGAAATGGAGGAGTCGCACAATGGACTGGTGATTATTCAGGCATTATATGGAAAGCTTCCTCCATCGGAACACTCCAAAGCCTCTATTCTTTCATCTCATGGTATTAAAGATTTGGCTGCGTCCATTCGAAAACAAATTAGTTTTGTTTTATCTGCAGATGAAGCCATTGTTGCCCAACAGCCCTTATTGGAGTATATTGATGTAACTATCCCTGTTCAAGCGCTTGTTCAAAACAGTCAGCTTCACATTAGTGCGGGATACGCAAAGCACAATATCATTGGCTTTTGGGATCCATGTCTGGGCAAAAAAAAACGGCTTCGCATCACCTATCAATTTCAAGGGCGAGTTCATCAAGTTGAAGTAGATGACAAAGCTGCGGTTGCTGGCCCTTTGCGAGGTACGTTGTATTTGGATGCGGTTTTGCCTTTGTTGCCGAAATTTTAATCGTGTGTAATACTAATGCAGCTATTTTTACAGCACATTTGATTGAATAGTCATTCAAACCTGTTTTGAATATACTGGACGATGAATTACTTTTAATCTCAAATGCTGTTGCGTGTTTAACTTTGTAATTACTTTAATCTATGTACAAGCAAGTACAGAAATAGGGTAATTTGGTATGGGCATACTCTAAATAAACCACTGCTATTCAACCGTAGCAGCTTTAGGTTTGAAGATGATCATCAATTGGGATATGTAATGCTTGTAAAAAGAATGACAAGTCTTGAAATTACTGTAAATGTTGAGTATCAACTAGACAATGGTCGCCTTTAGTGTTGTCTTTGGAATATCACTGCATCAGGAGAACAACATGGTTATCCACTCTTGTTTTGTAAGTGATTGGTCTTTGGATACATTCGTCATACCAATAGTGCCCTCGATCATGTCCAACTATAGCAATATTTGTATTAGTTGAAATTGTACAAGTAAAATTTCACAGGATGCTGCAATCACTACTAGTCAGAATGCTCAAAAGCGTGTCTCGATATCAACTAAAATACTGTTACCTTTTGTTTTTGCTTTTCCATCACCTTCTCCTCAATCGTATCCTTCATAACCAAACGAACGACGTGCACGGGATTGCGCTGTCCAATACGATGAACTCTTCCAATGGCTTGTTCTAATCATTCAAGTGTTAATACGCCTAGTAATACAACTCTCAAGTATATTCCATGAGCAAAAACAAAAACTCAGTTTAAAAACTCTTGCCTTCCATCATAGGATTCCACCAAGGATCTACTAGAATCACAAAATTGGCACAAGTCAAATTGATCCCAGCCGCACCGCACTTTGTGGAAATAAGCATGACGTTGATCTTCTCGCTGGATTTAAAGTGAAACAATGTTTGTTCACGTTCTTTGCGCTTCATACCGCCATCATCTGAAAAATACGGTTAAAATATAGTCAGTATAAACGATCTTGACGGTCGTGTATCATACTACACTACAACCAAAACAGTTGATGAATTTCAAAATTAATTTACATCGACAATACAAAATATCGGTTTCATCAAGAGCATTTTGAATAACATTCAGCATGGAAGTAAATTGAGAGAATACAATTGTTTTTGAAACATTCGAGTTCTTTTGATTTTCAGCTAATATCCGAACAACCTAGTATTTTTAAACAATTCAAATTTAGTTTATACTTAATCCAGAAATGCCGCCTATGATCAACGCATTGATATGGCCAAGTCATAAAACTACCTCGTCACATTTTGTAGAAGAAACAGTTGTCGACTCAAGACTATAAATTAAAAGCATAGTTTAACAAATAGGATGCATCAAGAAATAGTGGCACATCAATATTTTCGACAAAATGATTCAAGCTACCTGTCGAGTTTTGTTTCTGTCGGTTCCAGCTTCAAATTTGTTAAAAATTTAGACAAATCGCTCAGTGTAGGTATAGAATCAGGTATCGGCTCATCGTCTGCTGTGGATCCAATTAAACTAAAGTGGTTACAGGCTATACACCAAAAACCAATAAGGATGAATAAATATTAAAACGAATCTTGAAAGCATCAATCAATTAAATCAAAATTACCTTGTCGTAGCTTCAAAATATATATCAAAATATTTCCTTGTTGATCTTTTGCCTAATTGCAATGCAGAGTTGTATATTGTTAATCATAGTTTCTAATCATTCAGTCGCAAAACAAATTGTCGATTGCGTATAAAATCTGTAATCATACCTCTTTTTTAATACTATTTAGTAAACCATCATAGAAAGCGCGCTCTTTTGAAGTAAAATCTAACAAGCGAGTCTTGAGCTCTCTTGAAACAAGAGTGACAACGGGCTTTCCATCAACAAGAGTATTTTTTGTACGACGAAGAAGTAAACCTCGCAGTACAAGCTTTACTTGAGCCATAGCAGCCTCACGATCTTTCAAGATATGGCTTTTTAAAGGTTTGAGAATTTTCTGTTTGAATACCTCTATAAATATAGATTCAGCACGATTGATGAGCAAAAGGCTTTTAATAAATAATTTGGCACAAGACAGTAAAAGATATTACTCAGCTCACCATAATTAGAATATGGGTCTTGTTTCAAAAATTGAAATATGCTAAAAAGATCCTCAATACTATTTTGAAGCGGAGTTCCAGTCAAGCATAGCCGATGGCGTGTGGGCAGATAGTGTGCTGCTTTTGCTACTAATGTGGACCTTGTTTTGATTATATGTGCCTCATCTAAAATCAAGTACATGAGGGATCAGGTTATTATTTCATTATACAAATATGCCACTTTTATCAGGAATACCAGAAACCAATAGATCTTGCCTAAGACGACGCGGAACCACTGTTTTGTGAACAAAGGCGAAACAAGACTATTGGAATTATCGTGTGTCTTGTTATTACTGGTAAGTTTTTTGTAGTCTGCAGAAAGAACTAATTTGAAAAAGCGTCGACAAAAGGTTAAATCAATAAAATAAATGCAGCTCGATAAGTACTACAATGAAAATATACACATACCATCATAGGTAGTAATAACGACATTTGCATCATTAAATTTCTGAATCACTAGAAAGATGCAAGCAATGACTCATTATAAGCTCTGTACAAACACAAAATCCAACATGGCAATCTCGATGATTCAAAATCACTTACATTTTCCACGATCGGAACCATGAAATACAACTATACGCTGGCTTTCGGGAGTTGTTTTGTCAGAAATCTCGTCTCGCCATTGGTCAATGACAGCAAGAGGTGAGATAATCAAAGTAGCATGACGGCCTTTGAATGATTCTGGTGGTTTGCATTCTAGAATAAGTGCAATCGTTTGTATAGTCTAATAACAATGACAAGTCAACCAAATGGCCAATTTGATATACAATGCGTATTCTAAAATTACCTTTCCGAGACCCATATCATCTGCCAGTATACTTCCATGGCAAGGCCCATTCTTTTCGCGATCCACAAGCCAACCAAGACCTGAGAATCAAAGCAACTGTTAGCGCATTTCCAAAATGACCAATATTTTGTTCAACTTGAGGGATCAAACTGGAAGTTAAATCAATTCTACAACTCCAATCTCACCAGCTTGTTGATGAGGCATCAGCATTCCAACAAATCCTTTTGGTTCAGACAGGACAGGCATTAGAGAGCTATCTTGAATAGTTTCCAGAAATCGTTTAATGGAATCGGTAACCAAAGCATCTGACTGAATTACAGATTTAATTAAAGTAGATTTCTTTGCAGGATGCTGTTGGTTGGGAGCATTTTGAATCGCAAAAGCCATTGCAGATTTTGCCTCGGCAACCATTACTGGCTCGTTTCGAGGCACATTGATAATAAAAGCTTTGTTTCTGTTTGCTAAAGGGTTAGAGCCTTTAGATCTCCATTGAGTAGATTTGGGTGCAAATAGCTGTAACTCAGGTGGAGCTACAACCTGATATGAAGCACTCGATGCTTCTATAGATGGTTTGAGATGACTTTGTGATCCAGCTGTTCTCTTATCAAGTTTTGATGACAATATCGCATTCTCTGAACAATCAGCCCGTTTAACCAGTTTCGATGCATTGGAGGACCAAGGCTTTGAGCCAATTCCTACTGCTGTTGAGATGGGCTGTTTGGCCTTATCCAAACCACCTTTCTCTGCTGCAGCCGGCACTATACAAGTGTGTCTGGGCTGGCTACGATCGAAACCATTGGTGTTTGATGCTTTTGACAATTGAGTTGCTCCATTGACTGGCTTGCAGTACTTGGCAGACTGATTCCGACGTTGATGCCAATCCTGAAATGAATGTCCTGATTGAGTGTCCTTATAGTGACTCTGCTTTCCACTTCTCATCGACTCTTTTGTCATGGCTACCGGCCGATGCTGTCCAATGTGAATGGACTTCATCTGTCCAATGTGAATGGACTTCATCTGTCCAACAATCGAGTGGATTCCAGCATCGCTGTCGACACAAGACACATTCTTACTATCAGTGGATGCTATTATCGTTGATGGAAGCACTGATGATGGCTGCCTTTCTTTCCCTTTCATCCCACCATTGGTCTCAATTACAGTCTTGACCTCTACTGAGTTGTCCATATGTTGTCGATTGGACACTTTTTGATATATTTTGGGCAACCCTTTATATGTTGGCCATCCTAACAATCTGCAAAGTTTAGACAAACATCTTTATTCCCGACTATCTCCAATATCAATTATACAGCGCATTGAAGTTGACATGAATATTTGTATGTGAAAATCGTTCAATGAGCTCCTCGTACTGTTTAAGTTGCTGCTCCATGTTTACCTTTCTGCAAATCATTAATGGCGAGAATGTGCGTGAGTTGCATGCAATCACAGGTTTCATTAGTAATTAAACAATGTTTTTGTACAGTTATTCAATCATAATGGGTTGACTATGGTTTTTTACCTGGAAATTTTTGGAACGGTATCAACAGTCAGGCTTAATCTCTGGTAGTCCGAATTAAGCTTCATCCAGTTAGCCTGCAGGCCATCCAAGATCTTGGCACGTTCTTCATCAGGCAATTGTACAATTCCATCATGTGCACCTCTAGACGATTTCGTTTCGGCCATTGCTTGAGCTTGATGAAACTCCCTTTCCTTTAGCTCCGTGTTACGGCGCTTCAGATAATCTGGTGCTCGACCATAATCTTTTTTAGCAGTGTAGCACGGCACAGCCTTTTCATTTTTTCTGGCCACTGAGTATATTAGGGTGTTTATAGATAATCGTCATTAGCTTAGACCAGCCTCGGGATGTTGGAGCAGAGTTCATATTTCGTTCAAAACAACTTACTGGAATTGATATTATCCAAAGCATTTTGTTTTACAAAATCCTTTTTGGAAGGTGGAATGGGATCCTCCTTTTCTTTTGGAACAGGTGCTTTGCGAACAGTTCGATCGGGACGACTTGGCCGGACTACTTACGCGTCCATATCAGTTTGTATTGTCAAATAGTTGAAAGAATAGTATCAATCGAGAAACATCATTGGTAGTAGATATAAGAGGAAATAAAAGATGAGAGTCACTCTTCAAATATAAGCTAAAGCTTGTAGCACTCCACTTTGTTAAATTAATATGCAATTCTACAGACCCTCACCAGAAACGATTTTTTTTAAACCATCTCCTTTTTTAAGAAAGTCGGATGTATCATTGACCTGAACTTTGGCAGGACCCATTGATGCAGCCTGTTTGCGACCGCTATTATGTTCCCCTCTTGCCTGGTTTGCATAGAGAGAACGATGGCGAGCATTTTTTGGTGGTGCGACATATTCTTTTGGAATAAGTTCATAGACTGATTCATTGCTCGGGTCAACTGGAAATTCAGCTCCTTTGCCATATAGATCTGCATGTTTTCCAGTAGCATGCAGCAAGGTGGCTCGCTTAGATAAAATCACGTTAGGAGCAGCTGTTGTAGCCATGTCGCGTAGTCGAGTAAAGGTTAATTTTTGATACAAACGAATCAATGCAGCAAGATTCATACTGCTAGCCCATTTAGTCGTCATTAGTGACCCAGGATCATCACGTGAACAAGGTTAATCAGTAATGAGATGATATCAAAATCGCTTTATTATCATTACAGATGTATTCATGTAACATGGAGTACTAAATAAAGCGCCAAAAACACATTCAGTTCTTATCTAGTGTTTTATTTTATATGAATCCAGTTGCAATAAAGGAATTGGACGAGTTGGGTGGCAACACAACCAGCGGTCGTATATATCAGATAATACATTTCAAAAAAGTTTATTTTCCTTTTATGGACTAATGCAATTTATTGAACAGTATGTTTTTCTACCATGGAAGACGAAATTGGATGACCAGCCAATTCTACTGCTTCTAAATAATCACGTTCAGCTATATTTTCGTGCTGTTTCACGAATCGGATTATACGCTGCACCTCATCTTTAACAAACTCTCTTGTAGGAAGCACTCGCATGAGTTGTACAAAAACAGCCTTGTTGAAAGAAATTTGGTCCGCAATAATACTATTTTAAAAATGTTAGTGGTTGCAGTCAAACAGATTCAATGCAACTTGTCATAAAATCATACATGCGCTGATTTACAATAAACCAGATCAGCGAGATTTTTAAAATTAACCGCCATTTCTAAAACATACCGCTTTAGTCTTCCAAGTAGTACAGATTCGTATTGAGTGACTTTGCGTCGCACTCCGTTCATAACGACAACTTTTTTGATAAGCTCATTGTACCATGGGTGTGCCAAAAGAATCTCTATTTTCTCTTTCCGGCGCTCTTCTGCAGCCTTTTGCCGCATGTCATTAATGCCATCAATACTTTTTTCGTACTGGATCGTGATCAATATAGACTAGGTAAGTGATAAAGTATACAAAATCACACAATCATCTGAGCTTCATTACCTTGGACAATTCGAATGCCTTGACTTTTCGCTCAAACGAGGTTTTCCGTTCCATGTGCAATCTATATTTACGCATTGTCAATCTAAAAGTATCAACTAAAACTCTTTGTTGCTTGCAAAATTACCTGGTTAGATCATCTTGCAAAAGATGCGTAAGGCGTTGTCGCTGTTCATAAAAATTATCTCGTGTAGTGAAAAACTAGCAAATGGTTTGAATAGATAGTCGGCCACGTTGTTATTGGTTTGATACAATGACACAGATTCAAGTAGTATGAATGGATGAAAACCATTTCAATATACAGTTGAAATTTCACCTTTTCTGTCGTAGCGGCTGTTTGATTGACAGATTGAATTCCAAGAACTCCTTCAATCTGCTTTGATGTTAGTTTTATCTGAGAATGCTTGTAGATGGGTAGATTTAAAGTCTTGTCTATATTGAGCCAATTAAGAAATGTCAACAACTTTAATTTCTACCAAGGATATTAAATGATGCCAGACTAGAACTCGTACTTACTTTCGGTTCTATTTTATCGTTAATAGGCGTGCAATGTCAATTAAAAAATCACAGTAGAAAATATGTAATGCAGATATTAGTATTGCAAAGTTTAAAAGATTCATCAAACCCTATGGATTACGTACGTTGTTTTGCGTCTATCCTCGTTTGCTTTTAAAGAATCTCTATCTTGAAATATGTCTCGATTTCTTTGATCTTGGCCACATCGATCGGTGTCTACACAAGTTTAAAACTGAGTAAATTTAAAATGTTTTGATTATAAAGCAAACGGATATGCATGCATAGTTGGTCTACTTTGTGCACTAGTAGCCCGCTCGTGTCGTAACAGCAGGTTTCCAAAATATCCCTGACGATCCATATCAATTTCCAAGTTGTTCCAATTTACTACAAAACAGCAGCGAAACAATAGTATCAGTCTGTTGCGTTGCAATATATCATTTTCAAAACATACTGTAGCAATCGTTCAAACCTTTAACAACTGCATTCGTATCTGGAGAGATGTCCTTTACATCATATGTATGTATTCGACTATCAGGCTCGCACACTGTTGAAAAGGGAACTCCAAACTGCAATTTCTCCATGTAAGTAGATATCAACACAAACACGAATTTAAAGATTTCGTGCCTAAAAGACAATCTCACATACCTTGACGGAATTGACAGTAAGATTGGATTTTGCCAGCTTTTCTTTGATATATTTAAATCCGTTAGTGTGGTTTTTTGGAACATCTTGAGTATTATCATTGATCAAATTAGTGTTTGTCTGGAAATTGTCAGTGGTTCAGCATATAATGCAATAGTCTGAGTATGGTTTACCTCGAAACTTTTGCTGGTGCTTGGCGCCAGTTTTAAAAAATGCATCCTTTTTATACTCATCGAATTGCTGGCTGCTTTTTCTAAAGAATTAGAATCGGTTTAAATGTCAGAATCCTTGGTTCCGCTCCAAGCAAGCATTTTCATGAGATCTAAGTTGTATATAGGCGACGTACTTGTATACTGTGGAAGGATCGATATTCAGCCGTTTATATAACAGCAACTCGGTATCCAAAATGGGATCGCCTAAATACGTGATGTTAGAATCATGGCATATGTGGAGATAAAGTTTGACCGAACCTCGATAACAACTGATGGATATCAAATTGGACTTACCTAAGGGGCAATACAACTCTTTTGGATCTGACAAAAAGCCACACTTGTAAACATCCTGCAGTTGAGATACAATTCAATTATACAAGTAATAAAGAGAAACCTCAGTGCACAATAATCAAGCATTTATAGTGTTTAAAAGCAATATCTTTTGGACACGAACAGCAACCCAATAATAAACTACAAAAATATTAAGCTAATTCAATAGCATGTATATAGGCTTGACAGCAGTATTTTCAAACTGCTTCATTAGCAGTAACAAGACTATTTTCTGAAATGATTTGCATTATAGGCTAAAATAGTTTACCTGAAGGCGTTTCTTTTCATTAGCAACGATCTTGGTATCAAGGATACTACATTTGAAATCAGACCTTGCACTAACTATAACAGGCTCATAATCCTTTAATTTGGCTATAGATTGCTCCACAATCATATTCTTAAAGTAATGCGGGATATTAGAAAGATCTATTCGCTCATCTTTGTATCCAAATTGGCCGTGCTGTAGAATCGAGTGCATTGTATGATGTGTAAGAACACGACCAGCAGATTGAGAAGGCGGGAGAGCTGTTCGAGATGGAGAAATGGGCTCTGACATGGTCATATACGTAATATATGATTGATTGACGACCTGTAACTGTCAACTTTGAAATTGATTAGTGAGGGAGAATAAAGGAAGCTTTTATTGATTGTATTTAAAGATGTTTGCAAACAATGTCGAGTGCATGATAATACAAGCTTTTGATTTTGGGATGCCAAAGTCGCGAAACCCAGACTAATGTCATAGAAAGTCAGTGCTGATTGTAAAATGATAGGACTGGCTTATTATTTTTATCATAATGCAGTTTAATAAAAATTATTGTTGATGCACTTGCAAATCTAGTGCCAGAATTTTATTAGCCAGCAGAACAGCCAAGAGCATTAATATAAACCTGTAGATTTTAATTGAGTTATTTCCTGCTCTTGATACTACAGCCGTATTCACGTAAAATGGGCCACTAAATAAGGATGCTGGTGTGTATTAAACAGCCAATCTCATGACATTTACTGGTCAACATTGTGTTTTTAAACTCCTTGACAAAGTTTACTGAGTTCGTATTCGTTTTTGTATAAAAACTAAACAGATGTTACAACTGCAATTTAGTCAATTCCACACTTGTTCAATCTAAAACTTTCCAGACCAAACATTATGATATTGAGTGATTGATATGGAAACAACAGTTGCACTACTGAGACGTGCGATCATTGTTGTTGAACTAGAACGCGAACGTATCTGAGATTAGAATACAGCAATGATGAGTTGAGAACATCATAACTTGATATCTGGATTGAAATGAATGAATCTGATGATTGTGCAACGCAAGAACAAGAAAGGGAATGATTTGCATAATATGAATATTGTATCTGAAGAATCGAGTGACAATTTGTAATAGGAAAGCAATGAATATTCAATTATTATCTCAAAGTCTTGGTTGAAGGATGAATACAAATGTTACATTTTACGTGAATATCTGTAACTCAGTTGCAATATGCTCGCAGCAGCTCCGACCCATCATGAATCCGCAGAGCTTGATTCTATCACTCCACAAATACGGCTGGCAGACAGTAATAATGTGCAATCTTGGAATGATGCTGTCGGTTCAGACACTCGACATCCTGCCACTGAAGCTAGTTTCGATAGCACTAGTGCCATTGATAATCTTGCTAGTGGATATATGATACTTGAGGATGATCAAGACGGTCCTGACACTTGTTTGGATCAAAATGCCAATGAATATGAATCGATAATTGACGAGAGTTCGGTTTATGATCCAGCAGATTACCAGCAAGCACCACTTCCGTTAGAATTGGAGAGCCATCCATCCCATGATATTCCAGCAGGTTTGTGCTCTTGAGCTACAGCTGTATTCAAAATGTAACATTTGTATTCATCCTTCAACCAAGACTTTGAGATAATAATTGAATGTTCATTGCTTTCCTACTACAAATTGTCACTCGATTCTTCAGATACAATATTCATATTATGCAAATCATTCCCTTTCTTGTTCTTGCATTGCACAATCACCAGATTCATTCATTTCAATCCAGATATCAAGTTATGATGTTCTCAACTCATCATTCCTGTATTCTAATCTCAGATACGTTCGCGTTCTAGTTCAACAACAATGATCGCACGTCTCAGTAGTGCAACTGTTGTTTCCATATCAATCACTCAATATCATAATGTTTGGTCTGGAAAGTTTTAGATTGAACAAGTGTGGAATTGACTAAATTGCAGTTGTAACATCTGTTTAGTTTTTATACAAAAACGAATACGAACTCAGTAAACTTTGTCAAGGAGTTTAAAAATACAATGTTGACCAGTAAATGTCATGAGATTGGCTGTTTAATACACACCAGCATCCTTATTTAGTGGCCCATTTTACGTGAATACGGCTGTAAATGTAGTCATGATATCTATAATAATAATAATAGACGAATGCTAACATGTTTCTACTGTTGTATGATGCTAATAGCGGATTTGGATGTTATCCGACAAGTCATGTCGTCAATCCAATTGCCAACTCCTTGTAAGACTAGATGATGATAGTTTATCAAATTTGGGTTCGTATCCAATGCTAACTGTTGATTTTTGAACATTATTTGTGACGATACACATTTAAATTTAGCCTGGGCAAGTGCCATTCCTGAGCATAAATGGCTGCCTGTTTTCAAAAGTAGTCCAGCTTCAAACAACCAGGAATAGCTAGATAAACATTAGCGATACTATTTCCATTAAATGGCACAGCTCTAAAATTCTCGTAGCCATAAATCTATATACTCGTCGCCTTCACAATAGGTTATAGGGAACAACCTATGGAGTGATGCCAAGCTTAACTAATATAAAATAATACAAAATTTCAAAAAACATTTTTATATCAAATCTTGGATTACGTTATGCATTCAGAAGGTCTGTGTAGCTCCTTCATATTAATCAAAAACGGTATCATTTGGTGCTCTTCCTATACCACTAACCATTAGTCTTAGCCAGAACAATCTTTACAGCCATGTTCATGTAAACGCAATACTAAATAATAGTGCCAACGTGCATAATGAGCAGCAGTTGCATTCCCGAAACATGCAATCTTTGTTCTTTTAACTAAAATGCAAACGCATACGAGATTTGGAATATAACAAAGATGAGTTTGTAGAGTCGAAAACAATTGGTAGTAGCGTTGGTTGAAAAATGTTTATTAAATCATTGATAGATGACAGCTGATAGTATTGCAAGAACCATTCATAATAACAAGGGAAATAAATCTTGTTTGGTTAGCTTAGTTGGTCCAGTTGTCCAACAGCATCATGCTTTCGTGACTGCATGGTTTTGGCACAACCATATTTCAACACCAATCGATTAAAAGTGTTCAAGATCAATAAAGTACATTCGATTCCTCTATAGTTTATATTTCAAACTGTACCAAATAGATTTAAATCCAGCTCATCCATCCCTCATACATGGATGCAAGGTTGTCTTTGTTTGTAGCTTCTTTGATAATCTGCTCAACGTGATCAGGAACAGATAATCTACTTTTGAAATCACTTTCACGACCTTCCAGCTTTAGTCGAATCTTTTTAAGAACATTGACTGCATACGCATTCCGTGCTTGTTCTATAAAAATTTAATAAACAAATCAATTTCGATATTCAATGAGTTTAATAATTACAGTCAAGTCCAACTTTGTGTTGTACCAAAAAATCAACATTTTCCAATAGTAGACATACCTCGATTGAATCTAAACGTTCCAGGCTGTTGTTGAAACTCGGTCTGTAGTTCGATTTGCTCGTCGGCAAATTCCTGTGACAATGGAGCAGCTTCAATGGTTTCTTGATCCAGCATAAGCGATGCAGCTTGAAATCCAAGCACGGCAGCATCGATTTCAGCAATGGCACCGTCACCAGCTTCTCCCATGGGTGACGAGATTTTAAGAGTATTGATGGAGGGTGTATCTAAAGTATCCATATCCAACGTAAACTCTGGTATTTCTACCAAAGAAAATAAACCATCAAATACCAACTGAGCATTTTCCTTGAAATCTTTGGCAGTCACCCGCTAAATAGTATAAATTCAACTGATTAGGTCAAGCAATATGTGGTACACGTTCTCACATCAATTAAACCCTTACCATTAATTCAACATCCAACTCGACAGAAGGATCAGCTTGACAAGCAGATGTAAGCTTTGATGGCTTTTCACTCAATGAGTGCCATGTCTTGTGAAGGTTCTGTAAGATATGTGAATCAATCAGCTCAGCTGTTGCATGATTGGTTTCAGTTTATATACCCACTAAATATACAATACTTACTTTGATGATAGTTACTAGACTAGCTGACTGAGGAATCATATTTCCTAGTTTCAGTATCTGTGGAGTGATACGTAGAATAGGGTCTATATTTTTCAATACAGCTTTAAACTGAAGAGTTGCATCCACACCAAGATCGCACATGATTTTTCTCTCGATATCAATCTAATGTAATACAACAAAATGCAAGAGTCGTTTGTCATTCTAAAACATGCAAATATATACTTTAAGGAAATTTCGTTTTACCTTTTCTGACCGCAGCTGAGATTTACAGTGCCCATACTTGCGAATCAATAGAATCTCGTCGGCCAACTTTGCAATATGTCGGACCGCTTGTGTTGCGGCATGCTCGTTGCTTTTACAAGTATCTGTAGGGGTTCTAAAAGACTCAAAATGTGTGATTCCTTCGCACATCTTCCAAAACATTTTTTGCTAGCAGTCACAGTATTTACATTTAATGGTAAGCAAACACCGTTATCAAACCACACATCATCCACCCTGAAGATTGCATACCTGAGATTGGAGCTGCGATAAAAATTTGCCACGGTTCTGTGATTGAATAGCAAAATCGTCAAGACTTAAGTTACCAGCAGGAGGGTTATTCCAAATGTGTGGCATGGAAATAATCTCTTGGTCCATGTTCATAGCTTGAATACGAATATCCTCCAATACTGACTTTTCAGTAGTAAGCTGTATCAAATTGTTTTGTAATTTCTCAAAGATCTACATATTACCAAATAAATAGATGCCAATGAATTTCAAATGACTATCGGGATATGGGCACACATGACAGCAAAGTAAAATTTACCTCATTAGAAGAAAAAGATGCTTCGGTATGATGAGAAGACTTTAAAGCCCGGCTATGGAAAAATGTATAGCGTTCAAATGCGGACCTTGCTTTCTGGAGTTGATTGGATTGCTCATCTGCAATCTCGCGCGTCCAAAAGATCATATTTTGCCGTACTTTTGCAAATCCAAAACAGACAATATGTGTAGCTACCATATTAATCTGTTTTAGTTCAATGTCATCATGTGCAAGTTGAAAATTGACCAATCTGCGTACGCGATCGACAGACTCGAGTCCTGTGTCATCCAGAAACTGTCTTGATTCTAAAGGTTTGCTAACGTCTATTGTGCTATATTTTTTTAAAAATGCACCCATCATGCTGTTGATGAGTGTTTCTGTCGGATTTGAAATAACCTCTCGAATAACAAACTGCTCAAAAATATGTTGTTTGGCGAGGAACGGCTTAAATTCAGAGTTTTTTCGAAGAATATTGGCAATGCCGTCAATGTCCAGAGATTCGGCCGTTGGGTCATCGACTTCAAATTGAATGCTAGAGCTGTATGCAACGGAACAACTGATGGAAACAGAAAACAACTGTATTTGACAAAACAGTCACTACTCAGTCATAGTATAATTGATTATTGTCAAAATAAGACACGTGTGATGGTACTTACCGAAATAACATGCAAAGTGATTAAATCGGAAAAGGACTGCAAGGGTATTAAAGCAGAAATAGGTGCAGCAAGCGTATCACGCATGTATTTTAGAAAAAGCTGAAGTTGTTCAAAGCACTGATTTACCAGACCACCATGTTCAAAAGCAACCGCTTCTAATTCTGACATAATATTGTGCTAAATACAATCGCATGAGTAATGGTATTTGTAAGCATATATATTGCACACATGTCACCATTTCCACAACTAACCATCTGTTGGAGTTTTGTATTTTTAATTTTGTCACATGTCGAGTTACAGATTTCCGTCAGAGAAAGCTCATCTAATTGTGCAGCAAATCCAATTAAAGCATCGATGCCACTTGCACACAAAACAATCGATTTCAACGCAGAACAAATGATATTTTGCGTCAGACTTTCAAGAAATAGCCAAACGGTTCGAGCAGTAGTAGCAATATGATTCAGTAATGACAGATCAATTTGATCCACACCACATGGCATAAAGCCAACAGTTTTTCCAAGATCTAAATATACCATATATGTGAATCATTAGATAATCAATTAAGCTAGCCAGGCCACAACAATACCCACCTTTTAAACCGCTCAAAATACACTCTATTGTTGGAGTAATCAAAATAGTATCCAGATCTTCAGTAGTCAGTGGTATCTCAGAAAGTGCAGGCTCAATAAACTCTTTAAGATTAGAAAGCTCATTGTCAAATGAAAATAACAATCCATCACCAGTTCGATCAAACAAAATACGGACAGTTTCGGAAAGTACCATCACGCCGGCAACATCTACCAGCAGCTGCCTTGAGTGAGTATTGCAGTCAAAAACTATTTGAATCGTTGAATTTAAAACAGTAGAAACTGCGTCATTTGAAAAGACACGATCGCAATATGGCTTAAGGGATTTCAAACGAATTTGTCGGTCATCAAGGCTTTTAAACATTTTCATGGCAAATATGTTGACTGACATGGACTTTTCAGTATCTAAATTTGGCAGGTGTTGTGCCAAATTCATACATGTTGGTAAAGCAAAGTCACTATCAATTAGTTTCTTGAGATTCAATGACCAATCTCGCGCAGAATCCTGCTGAAGAATTAAGCTACTATGCGAGGCAAGTAGTGTGCGATAGTGTTTTAGATTTGCCATTGTATCAGAGTGAAGTGACAATGAATTGGTAATGCATGATGATAAATTTTGATTGAGCTGCTGGTAAGACTCGTGCATTTTACCAGAAACGGGTAAAGACGTTGAAGGCGTATACATATCATTGACAGCAAACCCATCCAATAAACTTTTCAATTGAGGTCCAGTATGTAAAATGAAATCCTAAAGCATAAATAATTAGTATTTAATAATTGGAATAAAATACAAAAATAAATACAGTAGTTTACCTCCAATCCTGACAATATATGCACATGCTTAGCATGGTAATCGGAATAGTTGTGATAAAGACGGTCCAAAAGGTTTTTTGCATCCGTAAACTGATTGGCAATAGCATCAGGAACTTCTCGAGCTTCACTCGCCTCAGATTGATTTTGTTCGGGAATAGAAACGTCACACACAAGATTGGACCCATCACTAATGACAGCTGCCATAAGATCAATCTGTTTAACAAGTAGATCAAGTGAGTCGTCCAATTTTTGAAAGTTGTCCATGAGCAGTCCTTTCATTTCAATGATCCGCGAAGACATGATACCGGTGAGTGCATTCAAATTCATCAGCGACTTTTCATGTTGCGATTTGGTATTATGCGTCCAATCAACAAGCGGATCATAAATGAATGCTTCGAGTAGAGTCAAAAGAATCTCTCGATTATTTCGCATTACACGAAACACTTGCTCGCACGCAATACGGAATAGACCGTCTGTTCCTGTTGGACCAAGTGCTCCTACCAAATTTTGAGTAAGACGAAAAGGGACTGTTTCTGGAATACGCAAACTCCGCCCCTTTTCAAAACATACATTGAAATCAATATGCGCCAGTTCTCCATGCCCCACATCAATCAAAATATTATCAAGATGTCGGTCACCAAGTCCAATTACATATCCAACAATAGACATGACTGCCGCTGATCTTGCTAGCCCTTTTGTTTTTTGCCACCAAGCCAAGCTAGAATCGGATGATGACCACAGTTCTTTTGCAATGAGGTCAGAAGGAGTTTCGCGTTCAAGCTCAGTAAAAACATCCCTCAATACTTCTATGGGCCAATTTTTTCTAGGCGTTCCTTCCTTAATCCCATGAGCAGATAGTGCCTTGGCAGCTTTAGCAGCAAATATATCGTGGGGTCGCATAGGTGGTGGAATTTCTGGTGTTCCTTCCTTGTGTTGCAACGTTTTGACTAAATGCTCTCGTTGTTGCCATTTGCGATAGATTGAAAACAAGCCTACAGCATCCTCAATCCATTGAATCATGCCAAAATTGTCACCTAGAGGAACTACTGCAAAGCTGCGAGCACTGAGGTTGCGAGATCGGGTTAGACGATCACCTTTCAACAAATAATTGACAGCCAAAATAAATTGCTGAATGCGCTCATCCAAATGCAAGTCCTCTAGTCCTTTAAGCAGATATGAATAGGAGCGACCATTGCTTGCAATAAACTTGATTTTTTTGGGTTTTGTCTTGGTGGGAATGATCAACAAGTCATGCTCACATCCAGCAATAGTAAGAGCTCCATTTTCATCCATGAGACCAGGAATAGAAATCAATGAACCGGAAATACCAGCGAGATATGGACTGACGTCAGCCAGTTGTATAGATTGGTTTTTTCTAACATATTTAATCAGTTGGGTGTGAATCTACAGCATCAATTGGTTAATAAGCAAAACACCTCAATAGTATATACTGCATACATCTATTCAAGGCATCGACCATACCTCTTTGAAGCTATTCAATAAAATTTTCGGATCCTCAAACTTGGCAGTCTCGCGCAAAACTTTTAATGAATTTTCTATAATCTCTCCAAAATGCTCAATAAAACGTTGCTCATGTCTTGTAGTTGCTCCATTGGCTACAGTCTGCTCGTTTAGTTTGTCCATGGCAAACAGGATCGGCTTCATCACACTGGTGGCATTGCGTTTCATAACTTCCATGCGGGATATGTTTGAAAGAGATTTGTTTGAATTGATACGACGTATATCAATAATAAGACGTTCCACACGTCCTTGAACTTCGCTCTGAACACGCTCGAGTCCAATCAGCCATAATTCTTCCCAAAACACGGTTATTTTCTGTAGCTCGTCAACCCAGGCAGTTACAAGGCTCACTAATTCAGCATTATTAGTACGTAAAATAGAAAGCACCTTGGTGTATCCAATAAGTGCTAGTTCAGATCGTTGAGTCTCGGGTTTCGACCCTAAAATAACAGGATACATGATCAATTGTGGTGATGATGTCCCAATATGACATAGCAGATTGGCAATTTCTTGGCGAACAATGGGTTCAGGATGGTGAAGCCGTGAAAAAAGCTGTGGGATCACCGTTTCCCATTGCGATGTTGGAGTGCTAACAAACCCTTTTGTAAAAGTTTGGTAAAATGCAGCACCAAATTTGGTAAATAGTCGAATCAGACGCAATGTAGTCGTGATTGTATCTCCAAGACGCTTGCTTTCCTTTTTACCATCATGTGTAGCAGATTGGTCAAAAGTAAACTTTACTGCTTTGGAATGATGGTGAACATGTAAATACTTGAAATAGCATGAAACGGCTGTGTTAAAATACTCAAAGATTTTCCCACGAATCACGTCCAATACTTGTAGGATGTAGGAGATATGCAGGTCATAGTCTTCACACGACGAGCGAATCTTGGCACGCCAGTCTTGTTCGGCGTGGTCACGAAGCGACTCGCCAAAATCTCCAAGAAGAGATGCAATAACAACACCAAATATATCTTCATGCCCAATTTCATCAAGATAAGTATGAAGTTGCTGCAGATCGTCTTGAATAAGATTAGATTGAACTTCTCGGCTAGATAAGCTATCCAATGCGCGACGACCCACGCGATAGCAAAATGTTCCAAATGCAAACCAAGATTTTGGATAGTCTGGTGATAGCTCAGTTGCTCGTTTAAGCAAATTATGACTTAGCCAGTACTCGGACATTGGGACTGGAGCTGATGAGTGAGGAAGAATCAAATCCAAATTTCGTTTGATCTGCGAGTCGGAAATATCCAGTCGAACAGAGCGGTTCCATTTCGATATAAGTATGCACGATTTGGCTTTGATTTCAAAATCTGATGGGTCAAGCATGCTGTTTGGAGTGTTGATGACATTCAGTAGCAAAGAAGTCGCATCCTTGGAGCGACCTTCTTCAAACAACAGTCTTGCAAGTTTAAAATTGTTTTGCATGGCTCCAGAGGCAGTAAGATTACTTTGTGACGAGTCAAGAAGCCGATTTGCTAAACCAAAGTTGCATGCCTTGCGGGCTAAATTGGCTAGTATACCTCGAATCTCATCTAGATCAGGGTCGCGTTTGCGAGTACGTTGAAACGATTCGTTTTCTTTCATTTGCATATGTAGCTTGATCCAATTTCCAAGATGCTTGGATGATATACTTTCGGGATGAATACGATCCTTTGCTCGAGCTCCTCCAAATCGTACTGCTCCAGTAATTTCTGCTGTGTGGCCATCTCCTGCAATATGATTCAAAACTTGATAGAACACGAGAAGCACAATAGCACGATCAGACTCGTTTATAGTCACAATTGGATATATGGACTGATATAAATCCGATGCTTGTTGAATTATATCCGAATGATTGACAGTTTTAGAAAAAAGTCCAATAGCCGTATCCAAATGTATCTTTTCAGTCAAGACGCCAAACCCATGATGTAGAAAAGTGCTTATACTTTTGTCAGAGCTTTCAAAAGTATCTGGGTCGACAAACTCTGAAAGATTGGACAGCATCATATCATCGGCACCAATGCCATCAGAACGGAAAATGCGATCTGTATCATGCTTTAAATCGGTGTTTGATTGTATTTTAAGAAGATGGCATGCAGATTTCCAATCACCCAATTCAAAATAGCATTCTCGCATCAGACTATGCAAATCCACTTTGATGACAGACTTCTCAGTATCTGTGAGGTTTTGAGCCAAGCTGTGTAACTCATCAAGCGCCATTTCATATTTGCCCTATAGTTGAAAAGTTGACTCGTATTGGTAAAAAGTTGCATTGCAATAAAAGCTACTCATTTAAATTTACCTCGGCCAAAATGGCTTGAATGCAGATCCATTTGTAAATATTTTCTCCTGTGATTGTAATCGGAGGTTGAATATTCTGTGTTTCACGTCGCCAATATTGTGCAAGACCGATTAAACCGTCAGCATCTTTGGATCGGCGCAAAGCACTACCTATTCGTGTTTAAAATGCTGTCAGTAATATACATTTCAGGTCAAACATGCAAATAACAACAATGCACATACTTATTGCAACCAATAGAAAGGCACACGCAGTTTCCCAAACAGAAATCTCTTTTACGGTGCGCAATTTCAAATACGACACTCTGTCTCGAAGAGCCTAGCAAATCAGAGTAATACCCACAATTAATATATTGACTCGAATACAAAACAATCTTAAAATGATGTTTAAAAATGTACCTTGTATCCATGGCGAATAGTAATACTATCAGCCTCAATTTGATGAGAAAGTTCAACAACAAGCATGCGAATACGTGCGTACCACTCATCACAAACTCTCCTATTCGTATGCAAAAAAGCCATAGATCCTTTTGATACAAGTGGAAGAATTGAGAAATTTCCACGAGACGCATTGAAGATTTGGATTTCGAATATGTCAAGAAATTCCAAAAAATGTCGAAGGCGCTGTACCACGGCAAATAGTTGAATTGAGCCAATTGATGTAGTTTCTTTCATCTCATTGAGCGTGCTTTGGTAAAGGTGGAGTGTGCGATCAAATACATCCAAAGTCTATTTGAGCGCACCAGCGACAGAAATATTAATATATTAAACACAATACAGATTCACAATCCACGGCATGATATTTCTTGCCTGAAGAGGTCCACCTATAGGAGTTTTTAGCTTGGATAATACACAAAATCTAGCACACTCCCATTGAGCCCAAAAAATGTGCGCTGTCTGAGAAAGTGAGGCGGCTGCCAGCATATCCTCAGCTATTCAATTTATAAAAATAGGCATAACCACATGAGCAAAAATATTTTTGTAAACATACACGATTAAAAAATAGCTACCAAGCCATCAGAAAGTAAAACTTACATGGTGGATTAGTGTTGGAGCGCAAAACCTGCAAGGCTTGGCTTGTGTGAAACATTCTTATCAACCATTCATTTGTTTGCATCCCAAGCCCAATTTCAGAAAACGCATCTTCTTCAGCAGGTTGGAAGCACTGACTGGTGCCCATATATGCCAAAAACAATTGAAAATGGCGTGGTTTAAATGTCACAAATGTCGGGGAAGCCATCACCGCAAGCTAGATATTTATTAACCCATAAAATTAGTCCATTATCAAGCATTATTGCATGCATAATAACAAGAATTCAAATATCACCTTAAACGACTGAATATGCTCGGAACAGTTTTGTGAAAGTTCCTCCAAAGATGACAGACACATCTGTGTGTCAATCGGATCAAACAGTCGAATGACTTTCCAATACGCATTTCTTACATCCTTGTCAATATCATCTAGTCGATCTTTGAATTTTGTCAAAATCGAAGCTGTATTTATGTAACCTCGTCGATTTGACTTGAAAGGAACAAGATACGCTTCCCACATGTCAGCAATGGCAACACGTATAAAAGGGTCAAACTGAGTGGCTGCGGAGTCAAGGAAATACACAAGAGTACTTTCTACAAGCTGCAGTACACCGCTCTGAGATACGTCTGTATCAATTTTGTTTTTGGTACTAATGTCTGAAATTATGGAGTGAATAGTATGCATGGCAATGATTTGTCGGTCGTAGACATTTAGGTCAAACACGTTGCGAATAAACTGAAACAGCCGATCAATACATGGCCAAAATGGTACGGCTTTTATCTGCTCTGAAGATATCATTAACGCAGGAAGAAAATAATTGTTTGATGCTGCCAGATTTGTCAAGATAATAATCATATTAAGATCCATCGTGTCCCACCACAACTGCATAGAAAAGTGAGCCGTAGACGATGCCATACTCCAAATATCATAAAGCCAAACAAAGACTGTCGATGAGTGATAGCCAGGCACACCAGAATTGATACTTGCAGAACAAATTGAAAGATTCAGCTGAAATAATCTTCTCAAAACTTGATAGTCCATACCAGCGATAAAAGCAGGCTGAGGGTAAGGAAGATCATTCATGTTTACAACTAAACGTGGCTCATTCAAATTTTCCATCCCATTAAAATCTTGGATCATATATCTCATTATATGAAAAGTTTCTACCAAAACTTCGCCAGGACTGGAAAATGATACTGGCTGGCTCACTGCATGAGATAAACGCAAGCGTTCAAGTACTACAAGGATAAAGTCCGAAAGTATTTCCATGGAAGACAAACTACCCACGCAGCCAATTCTCACGTGAGAAAGTACAACAGAGTTGGAAGGGTATAGGCACATGTCAATAAAATAGGGGTCAATAATCGGATCTGAAGATGCAGATAAAACCTATACACCAAAAGCAAGTAAAATATGTAAGCTAATAATAATATCTTGTGCAAAAGGAAGCCGTATTGACATGATCCGCTACCTCGATAGAGCAATTCATCCAAGCCAACACATCATCGTAGCCAGATGACAATGTGGCACGCTCCAAATATTTTCCACCAAGAAGCATGATCAAGTCTTGACAAATGACCAACTGTTCTGCCTGACAAAGCTCAGAGCAAGCCTGAAACAACGAAATAACTTGCAAAGAAGTAGTAGTCAATCTGCAGTCTTGAATAGCATCATTTAAAAGCTGGATCTGATATAGTAAATGTTTAGTGGCTTCCAGCATATCGAAATAATTCCCATCTGCGGTAGATAGTAAAGTCTCCAGTTGTGGATTGATGGATTGAAAACTAGCCATATAAAGTGAATAAAGAATGGCATGGGCACATTCCAGCTCAACCACAAGAGAATATGCGTTTTGAAACTCTAATCCAGAAGACTGAACATGCCACAAATTGGCAAGACCCTGATCAATCAGACTTGATTGATGATGAATCTGCACCAGACCAAACGCAATGTGGCTCGTCCAAAATGGCCAAAAGCTTATGATTGCATCCCATACTTTATCTAAAGTAGGTTTGGTAAGACTTTCAACAGCAGACTGCTCAATAAAAGTTGCAACGATAACTGGAAACTGTGACGTGAAAATATCTGGGTATTCGTTTGCAATCACTTTCAAATTTTCAATAACAGGAAAGAAAGATATGGATGGATCCATATCACGAGTCAACAGCAAAAGATTTGAAATAATGCCTATTACTGTTGAATTTCCAAATCCATAGTTGCCGATACGATCTGTTCTAGGTCGAATGGTCTAAACGTA